ACTTCTTCCTTACCAATGTGGATGCCATTTATTTCTTGTTTGATTGCTACAGCTAGGACTTCTAATATTATATTGAATAAAAGTGGTGAGTGTGGACACCCTTGTTTCTGAACTTAGAGGAAAAACTGTTTTTCACCATTGAGTATGATCTTATCTGTGGGTTTTATCATATATAGCTTTATCATGTTGAGGTATGTTACCTCTAAACCCCCTTTGAGAGTTTTTATCATGAAAGGATATTGAATTTTGTCAAATGCATTTTCTGCATCTATTTTGATCATATGATTTTATCTTTCATTGTGTTAACTGTGGTATATCATGTTGGTATGTGGATATTGAACCATTCTTGCATCCCTGGAATAAATCCCACTTGGTGGATGATTCTTTTAATATATTGTTGAATTTGCAACAATATAGTGTTGAATATTGGCTTGCTAATATTTGGTTGGCTTGTTTTCTCTTTTTTGTTTTGTCTTTGTCCTGTTCTGGTGTCAGGGTCTCATATAAGGAATGTGGAGTCTTTTCTTTTTTTCGGAAGAGTTTGAGAAGAATAGGTTACCTCTTTTTTCAATGTTTGGTAGAATTCACCTGTAAATACATCTGGTTCTGGACTTTTGTTTGTTGGGAGATTTTGGATTATAAATTCAATTTTGTTGCTATTAATTGGTCTGTTCAGATTTTTTATTTCTTCCTAATTTCATTTTGGGAGGTAGGTTCTTTATTTCTAGGAATTTACCCATTTCTTTTAGGTTGTCCAATTTGCATATAGTTTTTCAGTAGTAGTTTATTATAATCTTTTATATTTCTGTGGAGTTCTTCTATTTCTGATTTGAGTCCTCTGTCTTCTTGATGAGTTTCACTAAAGTTTTAACTTTATCTTTTCAAATAGTTTCATTTATCTTTTTTTAATTCTCTATTTCATTTATTAATCTGATCCTTATTAATTTCTTCTAACTTTGAGCTTTTTTCCCCTAGTTCCTTTAGTGTAAGGTTGAAGTGTCTATTTGAGATCTGTCTTGTTTCTTGAGGTAGTCCTGAATTGCTATAAACTTCCCTCCGACTGCTTTTGCTGTGTCCCATAGATTTTGGACCATTGTATTTTCATATTTGTCTCCATGTATTATCTATTTCCTCTTTCTTTAACTCATTTGTTGTTTAGTGGCATGTTTTTAGCCTCCATGTGTTTGCTTTTTCCAGATAATTGATTTCTAGTTTCATTCCATCGTGGTTAGAAAATGTTTAATATGATTTCAGTTTTCTTGAATTTATCAAGACTTGTTTTGTGGCCTAACACGTGATCTATTTTGAAGAATATTCCATGTATGTTTGAAAAGAATGTGTAATCTGTTGATTTTATGTCTGGATGATCTATCCATTGATGTATGTGGGGTTTAAATTCTTCTACCATTATGTATTGCTGTCCATTTTTTCCTTTATGTCTGCTGTTAATATTTGCTTTATGTAGTTAGGTGCTCCAATGTTGGCTGCATAATAGATTTTTACAACTGTTGTATCCTCTCATTGGATTGATCCTTTTATCATTATGTATGTTCACCTCAGTCTCGTTACAGACTTGTTTTAAAGTCTATTAGGTCTAAGAGTTGGTACCCCACTTTTATTTTATTTTATTTTATTTTATTTTATTTTATTTGACAGAGAGAGAGTGAGTAGCAGAGGGAGATGGTGAAGCAGACTCCCCACTGAGCAGGGAGCCTGACACGGAACTTGATCCCAGGACCCTGGGATCAGGACCTGAGCCGAAGGCAGACGCTTAACCAACTGAGCCACCCAGATGCCCCCACCTTTTTTCCCCCTTCCATTTGCCTGGGCTATTTCCCATCCTGTTACTTTCAGTCTCTATGTGTCTTTATGTCTGAAATGAATCTCTTGCAGGAACATATTGATGGGTCTTGTTTTTGTTTTGTTTTGATGGGTCTTGTCTTTTTTTAACCATTTTGTCTAGGTCTTTTGGAATATTTACACCATTTACATTTAAAGTAATTATTTTTTTAAAGATTTGAAGATTTATTTATTAGAGAAAGCCTGTGCACAGGTGGAAGGGGCAGAGGGAGAAGGAGAGAAAGAGTCTTAAGCAGACTCCACGTTGAGCATGGAGCCTGACACGGGGCTTGATCTCATGACTCTGAGATCACAACCTGAGCCAAAACCAAGAGTTGTACGCTTAACCAACTGTACCACCCAGATGACTCTAATTTTTTTGGTAGTTTTTGTCCCTTTCTTCTCTTGCTCTTTGTAATGGATGACTTTTTTTAGTGTTTTGCTTTCTTTCTCTTCATTTTTTGTGTATCTATTATAGGTTTTTGGTTTGTGGTTACCAAGAGGTTCATATATAATATTTTAAGTGTATAGCAGTCTATAGTAAGTTGATGGTCAGTTATGTTCAAACACATTTTATATGAACTTCATTTTCAGTCCCCCCTATGTATATGTGGTCATATTTTATATCTTCTTATTTTGTGAGTCCCATTAACTACTTTTTTTTAGATAAAATTGATTTACTACTTTTAACCTTCATACTAGCTTTATAAGTGATTGCTCTACTGCCTTTATTTTGTTTCCTTTACTCATGAAATTCTTTATAATTTTCTTCTAATCTGGCCTTTTTCTTTTCCACTTAAGGGAGTGCCTTTAACATTTCTTGTAACTGTGGTGATAAATTTGTTTAACTTTTGTTTGGGAAACTCTCCCTTTCCTTAATTCTGAATGATAACTTTGCCAGGTAGAGTATTCTTGGAGGTTTTTTCCTTTCCATGCTTTCAATATATCATGCCAATCTCTTCTGGCCTACAAAGTTTCTGCTGAAAAATAAGCTGATAGTGTTTTAACCTTTGTATGTAACTAATTCCTTTTGCTGCTTTTAAAATTCTTTAATCTTTGACATTTTAATTATTATTGTCTTGTGGCCCTCCTTGAGTTCATCTTCTTTGGAACTCTCTGTGATTCTTGAACCTGGATGTCTGTTTCCTTCCTAGGTTAGGGACATTTTCAGCTATTGTTTCTTCAAATAAGTTCTCCGCCTTCCTCTCTCCTCTTCTGGGGCCCCTAGAATGTGGATGCTTGTTCATTCGATGTCCAAGATAACCCTTAAGCTACCCTCATTGTTTTTTCTTTTTGCTGCTCAGGTTGGGTACTTTCCATTACTCTGTCTTCTAGATTGCTGGTCCATTTTTCTGCATCTTCTAATCTACTCTTGATTCCCTCTAGTGTATCTTCCATCTTGGTAACCATATTCAACTCTGATTAAAAAAAATTTTTTTTAATCTCTTCTTGATGTTCTGAGTTTATCCACTCTTTCCTCTGGTGACTATCTTTATGATCATTATTTTGAACTCTTTATCAGGTAGATTGCTTATGTTTATTTCACTTAGTTCTTTTTCTGAGTTCTTTCATTTGGAGCATATTCCTCTTTATCATTTTGATTGACCTTCTGTGTTTGTTTCTATGAATTAGATGGAAGAGCTACTTCTAAACTTGAAGAAATGGTCTTGTGTATGATCATCCCCTGTGCGGACTGTAGCACCTGATGATTTTGGCTGGCTGGCTGGAGCTGTGGATGTCCTGTAGATTGGGGCAACCCTGGTGGGATGGTTAGAGCTGAAGTGGGCATGGGCCGGGGCAGTCCAGGGCTCTTTGCACAGAAGACGCCTTGGCAGGACAGCTGAAGATTAAGTGGGTGGAAGGTGGGCGGGGGAGTCTTGGGGCATCTGTGCAGGGATACCTGGCAGGGTGGCTGGAGCAGAGGCAGGTGCAGGCCAGGGTGTCCCAGGGTGCTTTGCTCAGGGGGTACCCCGGCAAATCACTTGGAGCCAAAGCAGTGCAGGCCTGGAGTGTTCTAGGGTGTTTGGCACCTGTGTCACCTTGGTGAGACACCTGGAACTGAAGTTAGTGTTGACCAGGGGTGTCCTGTGTGCATTGTACTCAATCTGCATTGGTGGGACGGGTGGGGCTGGTGTGGGCTAGGAGCCCAGGGCTTACTGAGGTAGTAGGTTGGCTTTGGCGATCACCCAGACCCTGTTCCTGTTCATGCTTATGCTATCAAGGTAGAGAAGGAATGTAAACCATGGTGCTCTCTAGCCCTTCTAATCCCAAGAGTTCCAGCTGCTCTCCCACTGTCCGACAAAGTTCTAGGACTGGATCTTGTATATTCTAGTTGGTCTTTTACACAGTTGCTTTCTCCCTCCTGTGCCCCAAGGCAGAAAAATCTGCTCACGGTCTCCCAGTATATATCCTTCCCCACTGCAGTTAGCAGCATCAGGGGGTGGGGATTTCCTTTGTTACTGTGTCTCTCTTGCTGTTCTCTAGGTGGTGTGTTTATCTTCTGTTGTATAAAAGCTGTTCAGTCAGTCCTCAGTTCTTCAGGAGAAATTGCTCTATAGAGAGGTGTAGGTTTGGTGTGTCTATGGAGCAGGTGATTTCTGGGTTTTCCTACTCACTGAATTGAACTCTCCCTCCTCAGATGAATACAATTTAGATCAAAAATAGCAAATACCTGGGGGGCGCGTGGGTGGCTCAGTTGGTTGGGCGGCTGCCTTCGGCTCGGGTCATGGTGTGGAGTCCCGGGATCAAGTCCCGCATCGGGCTCCCTGCTCAGCCGGGAGTCTGCTTCTCCCTCTGACCCTCTTCCCTCTCGTGCTCGCTCTCATTCTCTCTCTCTCAAATAAATAAATAAAATCTTATACCTGGTATGCAGGCCACCATACTCCTGACAAATTTTCTTCTTAGAAAACTTTTCCTTCAGTCTCTAGATTGCTGTTACTAATAGGTTAGAATTAGTGTGTGGGAAACAATCTCTTTGTTAGTACTGATTTTCCTACAGTGAAAGGGCAAGGAGGAAGAAACTGAACAAAGACTTTGCAGTAGGAATATTTCCATGTTTGAGGGGCAAGGCGAACAATTTGGGCTACTCTGTCAAATTCAATTTCAAAATTAGGGGGAGGTACAGTTGCCAAGACAGGTCAGATTATGGAATATCCAGAATGTCAGATTGAAGTACATGCATTTTATTCTGTATGTAATGAGTTTACATGGTACAAAGTGGGGGAGGTTATTCCATAGTAGTATGTATTTAGTAGTTTAGAGGAGAAATGGAGACCAGTACTGACTAATCCAAGTCTACTAATTTGAGATTTATAGTTTGGATTAGGATGATGGCATAACCTTAACACCAAGAAGTGTTTAATAAATATTAATTAATGAAAAGAAAGAGGCAGAACAGCTGTGAGAAGCCACAGAAAGGAAAATGTGAGATTAGTTTTGGGGTGTGAGAGAAGTCAAATAATGACCCAAAAGTTCTTAAACTGGCCACCAGAAAAAAATGACTAAATAGAGTCGGAAGGAGAAATGACTTTTGGGGAAAAGATGATTAAGATTACAGAATTATGGTCATTGAATTAAAGAGTTAGAAATCCTCCTGAGTTCTTTCTACACCATCATTTTTTACAGGTAGGAAAACAGATTCAGATGTTTTAAGGACATAGACCCAGTTATAATAGAGCCAAGAGTAAAACCAAAATCATTTTGGTTTGTCTAATATACTAATGCTGGAGATGAACTATGACAGAAAATCCAGGTAAAAATACTCAATGCTCAGCAGAGGGTAAGGACTTATACAATGGATTTGAAATTTACCTGTTTAGAGGTGATCATTAAGTTTCTCTATTACTAGAATACAGCTCCTATTTTATAATAGGCAGTGATAAAATGGGATCGGATGTGTAAAAAAAAAATTCACTTTATAACCTATTTTGCTGTAGTGCTGAGGAAAGCTTGTACCTGTGAAGCTGAGCTTCCTTCAGTGCTAATACTTAGACAATTATGAAATTTTGACAAAGTCCTAAAAAGTTATAATAGGATAAATTGGCCAAAATATAAAAATTTTAACTGAACTATCTCAATTTTTGTAATGTGTTTAATGAGAGAAAAAAGCCTTTACTGACACTTTAGAACACTTGCACGTATATAAAATAAGGCTAACATTTGGCTAAGGCAATAAATATTTTAAATAGACTCACCCTTGTGGAAGACTGGCTCACCAAAATTCATCACTCAAGTTTTATTTGACTAGTCCCATAAAATAAGACCATTTAAGTGATTTGTTCAACATTTTGAGTTGATTTATCCCTATAGCCCTAAACCACTATTCTTTAACTGTAATGTTGGATTAAACCTATCATGTAATGTAATTGTGTATCAGGGGGTTAAACTCCTGACACAGGAGAGTCAACCTGTGCCAAGAGATGACCTATTTAGCCTGCACGATATTTTAAAAAAACACGGTATTTGAATTCTTTTAGTGTGCTTTCTTTACTGTCTAGTTGCTTGGAGGCCCCACTACACCCTACTGTCATTACACCTATGTTTAAAACTCCTTTTCTACACAGCGTCCTGCTCCTGTCCAAATATATATCTAGCTCAATCATCTTAGAACTGTTCTATTTCTGTAAGTGTCAAACCCTATGTTCATATACGTAAACAGGTCTTTTTTCTTGGATAGTATGAGGCAAGAAAATATAATCAAAAAAACAACGGACATAATCATATTTGATCATGTTACATAAAAAGGCATGTGTTTTTCCGCAGGTAACCTTTGATGTAACTTGGTCTCCAAAGTGCAAAGACAGGTGCTATAATTATGCTGGAATTGCAGATGCTTGTGACTTTCTCTTTGTGATGTCTTATGATGAACAAAGTCAGGCCTTGTCAGAATGTATTGCAGCAGCCAATGCTCCCTATAAGGAGACATTAACTGGTAAGAATTCACAAATGAGCACTTAAACAATAAGCTTATTTTAGTATTTCTAAGTCATTTGTATACCTTTTCCATTTATAAAGCTTCTTTGAAACATGAATATCACTTAATTTGGAGAGCTTTCAAGTTTACACATTCTAAAGTTTTCACTTAATTCTTCTAAAAATCTTGTGGGATAGGTATATTAATCCTCTATTATAGATCAGATGATGAGTGTTAAGTTCTCATTGCACTGCTTATATTAAGGTATTATTTAGTTGGGACTCGAGCAGCTGACTACTAACTTCAAGTCAAACCTCTTGTCCCAAAATTACATGAAGGAGATATTTGCTTTTCTAGAATTTGATAGGATATTTTTGCTGAAATAACCATTAAATAATTTAATAGCTAAGATAGTTATAATGTGAGTACCTACTATGCATGATTGATAGAGGACTGTCTTACTTGGCATTTATTATTAGTGCCCATGCTATATTAAAAATGACATCACTATTCTGTCATTCATATGATGTGGGCTTTGCATTAGCCTTTCTGAAGTTTGGTTTGTATCCCATCAGCCAACTGAATAAACAATTGCTTGCTATCTTTTGGACTCAAGTGAAATTTTCTGGGATAATTGGCCCTGATTTATAAATAAAAACCCTTTATTTTAGAGATAAAGTCTTAAAACCTAGCCTTATCACATCCAAGTTAACAGTCTGATCATATGCTATTTAAAAATAAAAAATAATTGTTACAGTTACAAAGCAATTATTTAATCCAGTGTTCCCAAACTATTTCATAAAGGAGATAACTGTGTTCTATCAATAAAAGGCTCATTATCAAGTATGTTTGAGACCTGGATATTTAATAGTACGTAATAACTTTAAAGGCTCTGAAAAACGGCAAATTTACTTAAACATTCTAGATAATCTTGGAACATCTTTTGGTGGGAAAACATTTTGCATTGGGCACAAAAGGGAATGACCAGGAATTTGTTCATTTTTCTCTTTGCCATAACTACAGATTGAGGGGACATTTCTTGTCCCTGGCTGTAATTCTAGAAAGCACAAGTGAGGGGTGCCGGGGTGGCTCAGTCGGTTAAGTGTCTGCCTTCAGCTCAGGTCATGATCCTGGGGTCTTGGGATCAAGCTCAGTGGGGGAGTCTGCTTATGTGTGCTCTCTCTCTCAAATAAAATCTTAAAAAAAAAAATTCTGAGACCATCCCTTCCAGAAAGTTTATGAACTTTTCTGGAACTTCAGAATCTAGAAAATCAAATATATCTCAGCAGTTAATAGACAAAATTAACATACTTTCTCCTGAAATGTCATTCTTCCTAGAATTAAATTTTGTGAATTTTTTGCTTCAGTTTGATCTTTTGAATGCTTTCTATATTCAAAAAGAAATCATTTATCAAGTGATACAGAATTTATAGTTCTTAAGGGATGATGTTTATAATGTCATGTTAGGGAAACACTGTATTAGTATTTTGCATAAATGTACTTGTTTTTTCAAACTTCATTTCTGACTTCAATTCTGAATGGCTGCATAGTTTGTATAAACCCATTAGAATATAAAAAGAAAAAATATGCTTTTTCTGTCCCAATTTGATTAGGGTATGATGACTACATCAAGATAGGCATTAACCCTAAGAAACTTGTAATGGGTGTTCCCTGGTATGGTTATGATTATACCTGTCTAAATCTATTAGAGGTAAGTAAGGATTTTTCTTATATAATTTTTTTCTTTCTATTCTTTAAAGCCTGTTTTCTTTCATATGTAGAAGTTTGAGACTAAAAGTAGAGTTTATTTTTAATTATTTAATCCCATGGAAGTTTGAGTGTTACATTTTAATAAACTTTTATTCTGTATAGTCAGTGTTATAGTATACGTTTTATTTCTAATATAGTTTTTCTGATTTGCTTAAATCTATATCATGAACATTTTTGTATTTCTAGGATCGTGTCTGTACCATTCCAAAAGTCCCTTCCTGGAGGGCTTCTTGTGGTATTACCTCAGGACGTCAGGTGCCCTATAAAATAATTATGAAGCAAGTAAATAGTTCTATTTCTGGAAGCCACTGGGATAAAGATCAGCAAGCTTCTTATTATAATTATAAAGTAAGACTTTTCACAAATTATGAACCTCTATTCTATCCATTTTCTTTTAGGGTACAATATACAGACTACTGTTTACATGAGTAAACTTGTCTAATCAAGTACTTTACTTTGCCGGTGAGCAGGTCAAGTTATAGTAATAATGGAACTGCTCTGCATGGGCCACTTGTCATTTTAGATGGTGTTATATCACAAACAGGATTTCCTTAATTATGTACGATAACTGTGGCTTTGGGCCAAAATAGGTTACTGGCTCTGTAAACCTCCATTTCAAAGTAGTCTGAGGATTCTTATAGGGAGGCATGATGCTGAGAATAAGAAATGCGTTAGTGGAAAATGGTATAAACTATGTGATATTAGACAAATTATATTACAAACAAACACTGAAGAAACACTACCTGACAGACTTGCTCTGGTCATTTAGATAAATAGGAATTGCTATACCAAAGAGGCAAAGAAAAGTTACATTTTTCATAATTTACCTTTAGCATAATAAAACTTTTCCACACCTCAAAAATCTAATTACAAATCATCTTTGAATTTACTTTGGATTTTGTCACTGTAAAAGGAGCCCTAAAGTGTCATGATGTAAGTTGATTTCAGTAAGAATTTATATTCTTTAATAATCTGGTAAACATATTTAATTTTGTTATACAGGCATGTACATCAATTACATAGGAAGCTTTGATGTAGAGCTTTCTAAATTTTGAAAATTCTATACCTATTCATTAAAATTCTATACCTATTCATTAATTAGGCTTGTAATTTATATAATTCAGATCCATATTATACTCCTGTCTTTGCTTCTTTAAAGTTTTAGAATTCAGGAAACATTTTGATAAGCCTTTGAAGGCCATTCATTTAATGGCACTTTAGACAACAATCTAGTTATAAAACTATTTTCTCTTTCATTTATTGTAAAATTCCATAGCAACCAAATCAAATTTCTTGCTGTGACTGAAGAGAATCATTCTGCTTTCTTATGCACTTTCATCATGCACTCAATAATATGCCTTAATCATGCATACGTTAATCTTACATTTACTCAGTTTTTCATCCTTCACTATTTTGAGGCATTTGACATTTCTTTAAAGTTTTAAAGAACATGAGATATGCTTGTAGTAGCAAATGAGTCTACAGTACTTAAATATGCCACAGTTTATTCATTTACCTTAGGGGACTACTCTAATTCCAGTGGTGCTACCATAAACACATTACTGGCATCCACTGAGAACTGCCTTTTCCTTAACCCTTTTGCCTAGTTCTTTTTATCCCTTATCCAATAGCTTACCTACCTTCTGAGAGAGACTGTGTTAGTCCTAGATAGAGGCAGTTGATGCTGGGGAGGACTTTACAGGCTAGTTTATGGTTCTTAATTCTGTAAGATTTAAAGGAGATATTTTCCCCACCCATTACCTTTTGATTTGGCCGATTCGTCATAAACAAAATCATCTGCTGAGCTCCTAAGTACATTTCCAGGAACTGCAGGGAGTACAAAAAAAATGCATAAGCTGGTTTTAGAGGACCATAGCAGTGATCCTCCTTAACTATATCTGTGTATCAGAATTATCTAATGGGATGGCAAAACACAAATATATGTCCTAGTTCCAACCCTGGAATATTCTGATTAAGTAGGTTTCATGTGGGTCCCAGGAGTTTGTATTTTGAAAAGCTCTTGTACATCTTGGTTGATAATCATCAGATCAGACCAAGGAAGGAATCTTAGGGCATGGGAACATGAGAAGGACTTTAAATACAGTACAGACTGTATTACAAAGCTCATTTGTGTAATCTCTGCTGTTGTGAGAATACCACAATCATCTAGAATCACATACAGAACTATGGAAGCATAAAGTACTGTGCGCTAAAATTTCTAATATTGTACTGAATAATTTATTCTTATAGGATTCTTCTGGCCATTTTCATCAAGTGTGGTATGATAACCCTCAGAGCATTTCTTTAAAAGCAGCATACATACAAAAGCATGGCTTACGAGGCATTGGCATGTGGCACACAAATTGTCTTGACTATTCTGGAGATGCTGTGGCCAAACAGCAAACTGAAGAAATGTGGGAAGTCTTAAAACCAAAGCTGTGACAGATAATAGTTTTGTCAAACTATTAAGATTTAGAAAAATGATCAGTATAAATCAGTTTCTTGAATAAAAATGTACACATTTTTGTCATGTCATATATTTTATTCTACTTAAAAGCAGATAAATGCTTTGGTTGTCTAAAAACAAAGGTAAGAAATCAACTGTCTATGTTTAATACTATAATTAGGAAAAACTGTTTTCAGAATTTTATGCTAATTTCAAAAATATGTATAATTTGAAGCGGAAATTTGCTCAGAATAGGTTTACTTTTGCTCTATACTTTTTGTTCAATAAATTTAAAACCTGCATCAAGCTGATGCAATTTTTCTGCTTCCTGATTTCATATAGTACTCAAGTTCTCTGATGCACTTCAAGTAAACTCACAAGCCTCCGGGGTGGGGGGAAAGGATTAAAATACAAGATAATATTTTGAATTAAATACAATATTTTGAATTAGTAGGTTAGAGCTACCTAATATTTTTCACCAAAATTTTTGTTTACCTTTCTAATACATCTATAATTTCTTAGCTTATATATGCATTTTAAATTATCTAAAGACATTGGTTTCTCAATTATTTGCACAATTAGAATTTTTCTAAATGTATAGAGGTCTCTGTTCTCTTAGGGCAGTTAAGAATAATATTAGTTCCTATAAACACCGATTAAAAAATCTGCATCCTTGAACTCTGGACTTACATAAATCTGTCTTCCCTGTATATTCTGCCTTCAAATTGGAATTATTGAGAATATTTCATTTCCTATTTACCGAATTATTTATGGCAGAGGAAAACCAACCATTTTCCATAGATTTGTTGAATTACTATTTGTATTTCTAAAATTTTAAATTCTTAGACACTAATCTGTATCATAGCTCTGGATGTAAGTTCAATATCCCCATTTTATATTTCCAGATTGCTTTTAATTAAAATACAATGAACAAACTGTCTCTAAGACTATAATACTTAAAAGCTTCAAAACTAAATAGCCACCGGTTTGCTTTTTTACATCTAATATTTCCTGAAACACTTTGTAAAATCCACACGAAAAGTGAAAAAATATAAAACTTATGATTTATATAAAATATTGTGCCAAGGAGAATAATGGTTAAATTTTTTGACAAGTTTTAAATTAACATACCTACTTGGGATTGTAAAGATGTGTTAATTTTCTTCTGTGCCAGTTCAGCTTTCAATGTGCGTAAATCTGAAACCGCTTGTTTTCTCATCTATAAAAAGAATCACCTTTCAAAAATGAACTTTGATCTTACCCTTCTAAAATTGAGACAGCCCTAATTGAATGCTGCTAGTGAAAAGAATCTAGAATTGCATTATTCAGTACAGTAGCTAAGTGCCACATGTAGCTACTTATAGTAACAAATCATAATCAGTTCCCCAGTTACACAACAAGCTCCATTTCAAGTGCTCAATATCCTCATGTGGCGGCTGTATCAGTGCAGATACAGAACATTTCTATCATTGCAGAAAGTTCTGATTCTAGAAAGGGGTCATTATTCATGTCATAGAGCTATTTCTGATAAAGAAATAGAAGATTAAGATAAAAGAAGTGAACTCTGAGCTTTTATATAATTATATATATATGAAAATAATCAGCATGAGATAATTACCCCCAGAACGGGTAAAAAAAAAAAAAAAATTGAGCTCAGAGTTCAGTGGTTTGTCAGACTTATTTATGGATGACTCTAATATATGAAAATTACTTTTAAAATACTGAGACTCTATATACTGATTCAGAAGGTCCTTTTCCTTTAAATCTTAGGGAAATTCTACTAATTTTACTTTGGCCTTGTTATAACATGCACCTTTACACAGGATTTAATTCTTGCATTTTTTTCACTCCTGCTCTTGGTTGTTAAGGTAACAATTTTAAGACAATCCTTACTATCCTTATGCTATTGATACCCAAAATTAAAACACTAAGACAATTTATTTCAGGATAAATGTTATCTGATTAGGAGAAATGCAAATTACCTTAACTTCTATTATGAGTTTCATTTTGTCAGTATCCAGTTTTCTCTTAAGTTGGTCAATTTCATGCTGTACTTCAGTGATCTGGATTATAAGGTAATTCTGTGTGAAATACATAAAGATATCCTTATTTAGTATAACATCTATTTTTATTTTTAATTGCCTTGTAAACTACGAAGTGGTAATACCAAAAAAGCAAATCATAAGAATAACCTATTGCATAAAATAAACTCATTGCTTTGGAGTAAATTTCTTATGTCTCAGGGACCACATTCTCTTCTGTTCTACTACCTTTATTCATGTTTTATTAAAATAAGTAGATATCTGTACAAGTTGCCATTAAATTAGCACCACAAAGGCAAGAACTATTACTACAAAAGGAAGATACTAGGAAAGCTTTTGAAATTGTCATTATACTTCATTAGCTGAATCAGATTATTACTTTAAAATAGTTAATAATGAAATACTGTATTTTATATAAGAAGTCTTTTTGGCTATTTTTGTTTAGAAAAGTTTATTAAGTATAGTGGTCAACAAGAACTATTTGGTAAAACAAAAAATGAGCTATGCAAAATAAAAAGTATCAGCTAAAATGGACAAACCATTACTTGAACCTATTTGAGTTTTACATTAGATTTCTCTAAAATAGTAAGCTTTTACTCATAGAAACAGAACAGATTCGTGGGGGTGGGTGGGTAGAAAATAGGGGGAAATGGGTGAAGTCCTGAGGATATAATGTCCAGCATGACAACTATAGTTAAAAATATTGTATTGTGTATTTGAAAGTTGCTTAGAGAATAGACCTTAAAAGTTCTCATCACAAGGAAAATAGTTTATAACTAAACATTGTAGTAATCATTTCACAATATATACATATATCAAATCATGTTGTATACTTTATATCTAATGTTATATGCCAATTATATCTCAAGAAGATGGGAAAAATAAAAGAGCAAACTTGTACTATTTCATCAAGTCTAAAATTAAATCCATACTTTTAATCATAATTAACATATAATCTTTTTTGGTCAACCAAGAAAAATTGATAAATGGCCTCTAGAATTTGTTTATATATGGTAGAATCACTCAATTAAAAAGTAAACATATTTCTGATCTATCAAGGTTCAATACTATCTCAAGAAAAAAAATCAAAATTTAATATAATTTAATAATTTCCTTAGAATATTAATACCTTTAGATTCTGTGGGTCTTATTAACTATTCCCCAGCTAAAGAAAAGGAATGTAGTGCATACTGTTGATCCCTTGCCATATTCCATCAGGTATTCATCTCTTCCATTGATTCAAAGAAAGTGACCCTATCCCCAGGTACAGAGGTAGACCCCAAGTAGTCTAAGTTAATCCAGGTTAGGCCTGGCTGAACCCCATCAGGCTAAAGGAAAAATTTTATATATTCTTGTTTAGGAGGCATATAGCCCTACTAGCCATTGGCAACTCTACTTGTACCATGAGGAAAAGCAGTCTTATAATGAAGCCAACACTGAAAATAATAGGGAAGAACTATTGGAAGCACCTAGTCTGTTTAAAGATATTAAGCTGCTGATTATAACCTTTCAGCACCCATTATATGAGATCATAAATTTTCTTATTAAGTCAGGTTAAGTCAAGGTTTTGTTACCTGTAGCCCAAAGCATCCTACATATGATAATACTAATAATGATAAACCATGTATTTTGAGTAGAATTCTCTAATAGAATGTGAACACATTTAGTAATAAGTACCTTAGAGTCTGTGATGTTTGCCAGATTCTTTGGTCTCATCTTGATCTCCCTGGCTTCAAGTTGCATGAGCAGTTTTTTATAGTAAAGTTCCAAATCTTCTTGAAGTTTTGTTAAAACCTCCTCTAATGATGCTGTAATTTTCTTTGTTTCAAAGTATTTTTTCTTCCAACCATCACAGGCTACAAAAAAAAGACTATAGTGTGAGTCTGACTAAAGGATTAAACTTTTCAAACTGGAAAGGACACTAGAGTTAATTTAAACCCTTCTACGACCCTACCCTTCTTCCCTCATATGTTGAAGAAATTAAAGCAAAGACTGAAATGTTTATTAGATAATAAAAGGATTTGCCTTACGAATATAGTAGTGATAAACACAGGAACCAAGTTCTTTAAACTTGTAATTATTTCTGAAAAATCTTGATTAAAAATACTACCTATAGCAAAATGTGTATATTTTGATCACTTTTTTCCATAATCTGATTTGAAGTCATTAATTTAAAATGATAAACAAAAAGGCATATTTTTCAGCCCCCAAAATGTTTTATAAAATAAGCTGATTCTGATTCATCACTTATTAAAATTATTCCAAATATATCCCCAAGCTTATATAGGGCAGAATTTCCTAAACTCTGAGCCCCTTAGTTGAGAAAATTAGAAATTAAATACTGCCAATTTAGGGAATCACTTTGACACCAAGAAGAGTCTACATACAAACTTAACAGGAACATAAACTGCATGCTACTATATCAGAATATGCATATGTTTAAAAGATTATCAAAGAAATGAAAACCCCAAATTTAAAAAGTCTATATGGTGATTTGATTAAAATTCAAGAGTTTATTTCCCTCATGCCTTATATCCAATCCCTCAGCAAGTTCTATTGGTACTATTGCCAAAATACTTCCAGCATCTGGCACGTTCTACCTTCTTCAAAGTTATGTCCCTAGTCAATCCACTATCTTTTTTTTTTTTTTTTTAAGATTTATCCTGAGAGCGTGCACATGTGTGTGTGCAGAGGATGAGGGAGAAGAATCTCAAGCAGACTACCCACTGAATTCAGAGCCCAACATGGGGCTCGAGCTCACGACCCTGAGATCATGACCTGAGCTGAAATCAAGTCAGATGCTTAATTGACTGAGCCATCCAGGCACCCCACTATCATCTTTTGAAAGTACATTATGTTTCTAACTGGTCTCCCTGCTTCCATTCTTGCCCCTCTAACAGGCTATTCCATATAGCAGTCATTCTGATCTTTTAAAAATATTTTTTAAATCATATAAACCTCTAGCTTAAAAACCCAACAATGGCATCCTACCTTACTTAGAATAAAATCTAAACGTCTTGAATTGGCCTGTTCCTTGCTGAGCTTTTATTTTCCTCTACATTACTCTGTATTACATTCCAGCCACACTAGCCTCCTTTCAGGTCCTTACTACTGCAAGCTCATTTCCATCTCTAGACCTTGACATTTTAGTGTTCCTTCTGTTCAGATTGTTTTTTCCCCTCTCTTTACCTGCCTGTCTCCTTATTAATCACATCATAATGGTATCGCCTCAGTGATGCCTTCCTTGAAAACCCTAGCTAAAGCATCTCTCCTGCCCCATCACCCTTTAATATGCTTTTTTTCTTTTTTCTTTTTTTTTAAATGGACTTCTGAGCTCTGGTCAGTAGCTGATATTGTCTTATTTGTTTACTGTCTGTCTCCTCCCATTAGAAGCAAGCTCCTTATGAGCAGGGCCTTGTTTATCTTGTTTGTTGCTATATCCTCAGCATTTAAAACAATGTAGGGAATGGAGCACATAACCTCAGTAAATATTTGATGGCTGATACATGCCTTTTATCTTGAAACGTTCCTGTTGAAATAGAAAATGATCATTCTCATTTTATAAATAGAAAAAGGGAGGCACGAAGAGGAGAAAAAAGTGAAAGATTCCTCTGGTATTAGAATCTTGGTCCTATGATTTTTAGTCCATTACTCAAATTTGTCTGATAAAATCACTTTTAACAGTACAACAAAGCTGAGTCACTGCCACCATTTCCAGGATAACACTTAATATTATGAGGTGGAACTTGCAGAAGTATCTCCTGACACTGCCTATAACCTTCAGTCAATTCTAGTACTGAAGCAATAATTTTGCTGTCAATTGAGGATTCTAAAACCAGTTAATTCCATATATACCTTTTATTCATATAACCCTCAAATACAATCCAAAATGCAGTCCTTTCAAACCCTTTAACACTTCTCAAACCATTATCCCATACTTTCTCCATTCTGGCTCATTTTTTCTAATAATAATAAACTTGTTTCTAACTCTGTTGCAAGAAAACTAGCTGCTTTTCTACCTAATTTCTCTCATTCCTTCAATTCACTCATTTAGGTTAGCAAAGTAGATAGACACATAGCACAAAATTAAGCATAGAGGGAGGACTAGGATCCAGAGATTGCTTCTAGAGTAAGTGCTATCTAAGCTGAGATTGAATGACTAGTAGGAAATAGCCAGGTGAGCTGGGAAGAGGGGAGATAGAAGGAAAAGATGTAGCTGACAGAGGGAAAAACATGTCTGAAGGCCTAAAGCCAAGAGGAGGCACACTTCAGATTCTAGCATACTTAACACTTTTCCTGGAAGCCTTTCTTGATCTCTTCCATCTAATTTGGGTGTTCTTTCTCTGTACTCCTCTGTGTACTATTCTGTAATTCCTTTATCATAGGATCATCAGGATGCATCATTTTTTTGATTATCATTTCCTCACTGGACTATAAGCTCTTTGAGGGCAGAAACAAAACTGTGTCTGCCTATTACTATCTCCTGAGTCCCTAGAACAGTGGCTAAATTCAGTAGACAATAATGAATAAACAAATAAATGAATGTCAATTATAAAAAAATTTGAACTTAAATTTTAAAAACCACCTGTAAAGCATGCTAGTGATAAAAGATGTAAAACTTTACCATGATATCGCTTCAATTTTCTTTGTTCAAATAGCTTTTCAACTTTTTTTATTAGTTCTTCTCTAATTCTTTCCAGATATTGCCTTTCTTCCTTTACTTGTTTCATTTGTTCAATAATCTTCTCTCCTAAAAGGTAATAACCCATCAATGTCTAAAAGCTAAAAGCTGGGAGTGTAAAACTTAAAAGTAATTAAAATAGCAAGAGTAAATTTTACCCAAAAGTCTGTTTTTTTTTTGCTGCAGTATAGCATTTGCCACTATGGCAAATACTGAGGAGTCATTTCAGTTTCTAACAGGGATACATAAGAGGATTTCCAGATAAGTAAAGAATATCATATGTCTCTTTTACATTTACATATATGTGTAGAAATTAGGTAAAGTAGTTATGCATCTTGGTTTAATTCTTTTGGTAAATTTATCTTGGACCTAGACTTATTGTCCTTACATAAAAAATGTGTGTACACACATATATATTTAAAGATTTTATTTATTTTTGAGAGAGAGAGAGAGTGCATGCATGGGCAGAGGCAGAGGCAGAGGGAGAGGGAGAGAGAAATCTCAAGCAGACTCTGCACTGAGCACAGAGCCCAACCTGGGGCTCAGTCTCACAACCCTGAGATCATGACCTGAGCTGAAATCAAGAGTCGGATGCTTAACAGACTGAGCCACCCAGGTGCCTCAACAAATGTATATTTTTAAAAACACAAATATGGGGCGCCTGGGTGGCTCAGTCGTTAAGCGTCTGCCTTCGGCTCAGGTCATGATTCCAGGGTCCTGGGATCGAGCCCCACATCGGGCTCCCTGCTCAGCGGGAAGTCTGCTTCTCCCTCTCCCTCTGCCTGCTGCTCTGCCTACTTGTGCTATCTCTCTGTCAAATAAATAAAACCTTAAAAAAAAAAAACAAAAAAACCCACAAATATTAGTGATTAAACATATGCAGTAATTAACATATAATTCACACACTTTAAAATAATGTAACATTTTTGTGGTAAAATACATATAATAAAATTTAGTTTTAACTATTTTTAAATGTACAGTTCAGTGGCATTATGTACATTCATGATGCTTTGCAGCCATCGCCACCATCTATCTCTAGAACCTTATCTTCCCAAATTGAAACTCTGTACCCATTAGGCAATAACTTCCCATTAATAGTTAACTTTATCTCATAGAATCATCTGTACTTATAATGTCATCATACTTACTTTCAATGTGTAATAAAGAGGTATCAGTTATTCTGGGAGAAAGAGCAGGCTGACAAGGAAGTGAAGGAAAATCAATAAGATCTGGTAGGGTGATGCATTCTTTTTTACCTATCTATAAGCAAATATGAAAATCAGTAGAACTGGTAGGATGACACATTACTTTTCACCTATCTGTAAGCATCTGATAATTCACAACAGCAATGCATTTTTTTTACTCATATGGTGACAAACTCCCAAATCTTTATTTATAACTACAGAGATTCTCTCTTGTGCTCCAGCTTCTCCACTATTCCTTGGATATTATACACAGGCACTTCACTTAATAGGAAAAAAAAATCCATTAATCCTTCCTAAACATGATTTCTTTCCAAGATTTCTTAGTTATGATTTTAAAATTTTTCTAAGATGACTATTGATTTTTTTTTAAATTGGGTCAACTTTGATAATTTATATCTGCTTTGAAAATTAGAAAATGTATATTTTCAAATTTTAGCATATATTTTATTCTCATATATTTTATCTGCTCTGTATTTGTTTGTATCACCTTTACCTTTCCTAACTTTTGTGTTACCACCCTTTTATGATAAACTACCTTAAGCCTTACCGATGCTGATGTTTCTCTCACTAGCACTTCATAGATCTTGAGTTGTTTTCAATTCTGCTAGGTTTTTTACTTCTGTTAACTTCTTAGTTTCTTCTTCTATCTTCATTAAGTCCTTACCCCTTTGTTTTATTGTTCTTTCCTAGTTTTTAATGTTCAGGTTCCAATAAGATAATGGCAACCACCTAAATTACAATCTCTCCATATATCTTCCCAATTACTATAAAAGGAAAGCAAATAAAATTACCCATAATTTATGTCTACAGCATAACTAGTACACAGACTCCTTTAATTTACACACACTTTACATATAAGTGGGGAAATAAACACCCTAGACTAGCAGAGTGTGCCCACCTACAAATATATGTGGACTGTGCATTAGAGATTGCTATATAAAGATAACACAATAAACAACCACGATTTAGTCTAGAAGGAGAGGGCCCCACATGCATAGAAGAAATACTGAGAGTAAGGATAAGATCTGGTAAATTAGAGCACTTTTGAGTAGGAGGCCAAAAGAAATGGATTATAAAATGTAGGGGGCCAGAGGTGGTAATCATGGGAAGACAGCTTCTAGGAGAGAGAAAAATACTTTGGAAGAGGTGTTCCCAAGGGCCAGGTGGTAAGAGAAAAGAAGAAAGTGGCCAAAATAACAGCTTTGCCAAATTAAATTAGTAGAAGAGAATTCAAAGAAAATAGACACTGGGGCACCTGGGTGGCTCAGACGGTTGAGCGTCTGCCTTCAGCTCAGGTCATGATCCCAGGGTCCTGGGATCGAGACCCGCATTGGGCTCTCTGCTCAGCAGGAAGCCTGCTTCTCCCTCTCCCGCTCCCCCTGCTTCTCCCTCTCCCGCTCCCCCTGCTTGTGTTCCCTCCCTCGCTGTATCTCTGTCAAATAAATTAAAAAAAAAAAAGAAAAAAAAGAAAATAGACACCAAAGACTCCATTTAAGAAATAAATAAATAGCTGCATTTTGCTATATCAACAGAAGAGGGAGCTCCTGATCTAAAAAGCAAAAGAAACTACCAAACCACCACTCCCTGTTCCTCTGTAAGAACACCTGTTATTATTACTTACATGGAGAAATCCAACACAAGTAAACATAATACAAAATAATCTAGGATCCACACAAATGTACTTTTTAAAACCCTCAAAACTGAGAACTAAGACAAAACAGGCAGCCACGAAGCAGAGAAAGACTTAATACTTCCAATATAGATTAAATATAATTAAGCAAGCATTTGCAGATACCAACAACACAATAAATCAGGAATTTTAAAACTCGGAATAAAATAGGAAAAACAACAGGAAGATATGAAAGTTGGCTAAACTGAAGAAAGAAATTAAGGGAAAAACAAAATTGTTTCACAAATGAACAAATTAGCACGTATCCAAGAAGGAACAAATAGGGCCAAAAAAAGGACAGTGGAGAATACAAATAAAAAGAGCAACGAAGATGAAACACAAAAATATAGTAAAATATATCTATTTTACTATTTTTATTTATATCTATTTTATATACGTTATTTAGAGAAAGTAACATATATAAAAGGTAAAGAAGAAAAAAGAAAACAAAACAGTAGAATGGATCTAACTGAATTTTCTGAAATTATAATTTTAATTCCTGAAATAAAGAAGTCCTAATTTTCACACTGCAAGGATCCACTGTGTACCCAGAAAAACCTGACCTAGAATTCTCAATTGAGATACAGTCTGGTAAAACTAGTACACATTAAAGGAATCCTCTGACCTTCCAGGAAAATATATGCAAGCTAGTGTACAAAGAAAAGAAAACGAGGCACCACGCTTATTAGTAACATATATAAAACAAGACATCAGTAGAGCAACATTTCAAAGAAACTGAAAGGAAAAAAGATCTAAGCCAAGGATGTGATATCCAATCAAGCTATCCTTCAGGTAACAAAATTCTATAGCGGGGATTAACAAATTTTGTAAAGGGCCAGAGAGTAAATAATTTAGGCTTTGTGGGCCACATATGGTCTCTGTCATGATTCTTCTTTTTTTCAATTCCTTAAAAATGTAGAAAACACTCTTAGGTCCAAGGCCTTACCAAACAGTCTGCAGGCCCTAGTTTGCTTAACTCTGCTCTAGACAAAGTTTTAAATGTGGAAGAAGAGAATAGTGAGGTGCTTTTTTAAATTGAGTTTAATCCAACCAAGAGATGATTGAAAAATCTGCAAAAGAACTGGCAGTAAGTGTTGAATATATTTAATTATTTGAGATCTGAGACTAAAACAAAAGGTGAGGGGGTAGACTAGAAGTATGGTATATAAATGTTATATTCTTTGACACAGTAGAAATAACACAACTAAAAATACATGAGAGAAGAAAGATTTTTTTGATTGCCCTGAATATAACAGGTAGGAGTCAGTGGATAATTTTAGAGGTAACAAAAGCGGAAGCATACATTTTTAAAAAAGGAAAAAGACTAAGAATACTAGTATAAATGTATTAGTATAAAGGTAAGCACTAGAACAAAAATACAACCCTCCTAAAACGAGGAGGGGGGGAAAAGTACAAATAAACTACATAGTAACTCATACTAACTGTAACATAAAATAAAATGACAAATCTCAGGACAAACACATCAGTCCTATCAACGTAAGCAGACATAACTCACCTACTAAATGAAAAATATTTTCAGACTGTCTCACAAAGCAAAACCCAACTCTATCTAAGCTGTACATATAAGACATACCTAGGGGCGCCTGGGTGGCTTAGGCAGTTAAGCGTCTGCCTCCGTTCAGGCCATGATCTAAGGGTCCTGGAATCGAGCCCTGTATCGGGCTCCCTGCTCACTAGGGAGTCTGCTTGTCCCTCTCCCTCTGCCCCTCACCCCAGCTCATGCTCGCTCTCTCTTGCTGTGCTCTCTCTCAAATAAATAAATAAATAATCTTAAAAAAAAAAAAAAAGACATACCTAAAACAAAGCAATTCAGAAAGGCTGGATAAGAAGTGGGGAAGGAAGATAAGGGTATTGCCAAATAAATGTATACAAAAAGAAAGCAGGTTAGTATCTTGATACGCAATAAAGAAGAATTCAGGCCAAAAAAAAAGCATTAAAAGAGTCAAAAAAGTGCAAAAGTGATTTTAGTATTCACATAAGAACTTCATGCCAAATAACATATAGAAATCTAAATAGATCAGAAAACACAGGAAATGTAAGGATAAACAGTAACACACTAATAATAGGAGATTCTAATATACCATTCTCAGTCTACGACATAGCAAGAGAAAATAATAAGGATATGGGAAAAAAGGATATGGAACACTGAAGGCACTCAGCAAGGTAGAGTGCAGACAGGCGCAGAGTAGAAGATGCTTGCAACATACACAAGCATCAAAGAAATATCTTCAGAGTACTTAAAAAAATTATACATTATCATATATATATCATATATATGATATATATACTCTATATTATATAATTATATATATAATCAGAAACATATAGCAAACAACTCAAAAGAAACACTTGAAAAGGTACTTTCAAAAGGTTACCAAAATGGAGTCCATAAAAATATTAAAACAGGACCAACTTTATGGATAATCTGGGAAATTAAAATTCAAACCATGGATAGCAGTAAGCATCCACTAGACCAACAAAAATTTTAAAGCATGAAGATAGCATGTTTTATTAATATCCAGCAAAAATAGAACAATTATTTGCTGAAGATGATGCACCTTTTGCTCTAAAACCCAAGGGCTCTGAGCTGTGATTCCCCTGCCAGGGCTTGTCTCAGACTCCATTCAGCATTCCAACCTACTACACGTCAGGCAGCACTATATGAGCTGGCCATTAAAACACAAGTGGCAACACTGCTTGCAATGTCTTTCAGATCACCCTCTGAACCTCTCTTGCTTTGGGCCCAAAGTTGGCATCTTTTAGATTACTTGATTAAAAACAAAAAACAAAACAAAAAATCTGAAGCAGCACATCCAAATGTGGCAAATCTTTCTCCAAATTCAAGAGGTCCATCAAATGACTCATTCTCAGTGATAACTAGGGTAAGATATACAAACCTAGCTTTCACTTAAAGGGCGTACCTCAACATGTCCCACCCATACCATGGAACACCCCAAAATTTCACTGAAATGGCAAGCTCCTGAATTTTCTTGAGGCTTATCTCCCATCCTATAGCCTTAAACATTTTAAGCTGCAGTTTTGTTTCAATTTAAGTATAAATGTTGTTGCAATACTGCATTTAAACAAAAACTTTAAAAATCATACCTGATTGTCCTCTCTTCTAATGATATTAACTCCATCATCTTCATTTTTCCAAAGAAATTGACTTAAAGGGAATGACAGATTTGAAAATCATATTAAAAAGATTCCATGAATATTATTCACATTTTATATATCTTATTTGATATTCTGTAAACACAAATGTAACATTAAAACCTTTTAAAAAGCCTGAGACCATTAGCATATTATCTTTCAAACTCATTAATGATCAACATAAACATTTAGCTTGAGTAAGAAAATCATATTTAATTATATTACAGCTAAATTCAAATCACATTGCAATGTCTATAGCAAAGTAAAATAAAAATTTTGGAAACATATTTTATTTGTAGTTCTTTTGAGAAAGTTTATAAAATCCCTTAACTTCAAAAGACTATATGCAAAACTGTTGTCTAAATACTATAATTCTGAATGAAATGATTCCATATGAAGCTCAAACACACTGGTTAGTTTACCCATAACCAGGAATCTAAGTGAGGCAGAAAAATTCTAATAAGGGCAAATAAAGACAAATTTTTCTGTCATTACTCTGCCCTTGATGATAAAATAATTACAATGGAAATAAATTTAAGTGATAAATTATTCATTATGTTAGAGAGGCATGTTCATATATAACAGTAGAGATTAGAATCAAGGTCATTTTAACTAAAAATATCACTAATTTCACTCATGTTTGTTCTAATTAGAAGTCCTTATAAAAGTACCCTGATATCTCACTCTTTCTTATAGCTTAGACTATGATATGTGGAATCAACATCTAAACTAATTACCTTTTTTTGTTGCTAAAATAATCACTATTTGATTCTCCCAATGATCCTGGAACTTCAGAATTTCCAATGTGATTTTTTCCAGTCTGGTTTTCTTTTGGAGTGGCTTTTCCCCCAGCTGATGGTGCTGTTCATCCATGGCAAATAAAGTTCATAATATTAAGAAAATAGTAAAATAAAATTTCATACAAATATATATATATGTACATACTATAATCTTGTCCCATGTTTCAGAATCTCCATGGACTCTACAATTCATGATATAAGGCAACAATTTCCAAAGTGAATTTCATGAAACAGTTTATGTGAAGAATTCTTTGTTCAATAGTTTGAGAAAAAAAGAATTAAGGAACCCTACCAGGAATATACACCCCCCACATGGAGGGATGGGTTAAATGGTGATGGGTATTAAGGCAGGCCCTTGTGATGAGCACTGGGTGTTAAACATAAGTGATGAATCACTAAATTCTACTCCTGAGACTAATATTACACAGTATGTTAACAGGAATTTTTTTTTATTTTTTAAATTTTATGTTAATCACCATACATCATTAGTTTTTGATGTAGTGTTCCATGATTCATTGTTTGCATATAACACCCAGTGCTCCATTCAGTATGTGCCCTCTTTAATACCCATCACCAGGCTACCCATCCCCCCACCCCCCTAGAACCCTCAGTTTGTTTCTCAGAGTCCATAGTCTCTCATGGTTCGTCTCCCCCTCTGATTTCCCCCTCTTCATTTTCCCCTATTTTTTTTTAAACATATGTATTATTTGTTTCAGAGCTACAGGTCCGTGATTCAACAGTCTTAAACGATTCACAGCGCTCACCCTAGCACATACCCTCCCCAATGTCTATCACCCAGCCACCCCATCCCTCCCACCCCCCAACTAACTGGAATTTAAATAAAAACTTGAAATAAACAAACACAAGCTCAGATGGCTTCTCATTGCCTAAAAATTCCTTAGTTTTGGAACAAAGGCTCTTGGAGTTCAAGTCCCTACCTACCTCTCCAGTTGTACTTCATGGTACTTCTTCCTTCCCTTCTACCCCCAAACTATAGTAGTAGTAGTAGTAGTAGTAGTAGTAGTAGTAGTAATGATAATAAAGTTACCGAACCAACTACCACATTAAGCAAATCCTGAAAGCTCTATTCATATCATGATCTCTGTGAAGGAAGCCTTCTGGCATTAGGCAGTGAACAATCTGCATGGCCAAACATCTGCAACCCTGGGTTTGCAACCCTGGTTTTGAAGTCAGAATACAAAGGGTTCTCTAAATCATCTTAAAGAACTTGGACTTTAAATAGTAATTAATGAGTCTTTCAAAGGTTTTCAAGCAGGGAGATAAATAATCCAGCCTGTAACAAGAAGAATGATGCTGACTACGTTCTGGAGAACAGACTGGAAAGCAGATTATAAGGAGGCTACGAAATGGTTTTCAAGGTTCCTTTACTCTAACAATCTATTATTCTACAGTGAGGAATATTTCAAAGCTTAAAGTCTGAACAACTAGAAGAATGATGAAACCAAAGAAGTCAAAAAAGTATACTTATTTGGGGGCAACAATAGAGTCAAGTATTAAACACATTAAACAAAAATGTAGAGGTGTGCAGCACAGACCCATGGGAAAGAACAGAAGATATCTAATGGAAGGGAATACCCATTTCAATATGAAAATGAGTAAAGCATTACTCTTGTCTACTTCATTAAAGGACTTGTAAATGCACATTCTTAACAGCTATATTTAATAATATAATGTTAGACCTCAGATATTTTGCATTCTCATGCACCACAAAAGAGTAATTTGGCATTTTTAAGAAACTGCACAACAATCAACAAATGGGAAGAGTACATATGGAAAAAAATTAAGGAACTTTATCTCACATCACATATAAAAATTAGTTCCTGGTAGATTAATAAACTAAATTGGAAAAGGAAACCATAAAATGTTACATCTCAGGGCAGAAAAGGGATTTTTTAAAAAGACATAACTACCTATAAATGAAAATGCCAGTAAACTTGATGATATTAAAATTTAAGAACTACAGTTCCATTCCTGCTTAGGATTATAGAAAGATGAAACAGTGCTCCCACTTGAACAAGGAGAAAAAGGTAAATAACCTATAAAATAATAACTTTTCTTGAACTCATTAGAGAATTATAGTTGCAAGGAGTTGAATTCCAATTCCCTCCTAGGAGAAAATTGTTTCATCTTTGGCAGAACACAGGAGGAAGGAGTAACTACTATTAGAAGAAAGAATAAGAAAACAGATAAAATTTAAAGGAATTCTAAAGGCCAATGTAGGCTACCAGGATAGCTTAGAATCTCTGGGATCCTCAAACACAAAGGGAAGTCAATACTTAATAGCAAGCTCCTTTCCATGTGCCTGTATCATACTTATAGGAAAGACTGGGGGTAGAGGAGACCTGAAAGAACCATCATTGGCACATAGGAGAGAAACCCCTTCACACAAAGCAAAAGACTTAAGCCACTGGGGGGAGGAACAAGAAACTCTCCCATCTGAGAACCCACACAAATACCTATTTGCTCTCATGGAGGAACAGAGGCAAAAGCCATCAGCTCTAAAGGGAAAAGCAGGTGACTCTCCTTCCAACAATATTAGCTTTGAAAGGTCTTATCACTGGGGAGGGGGTAGGAAACCCTCTTATCACCAGTCCAAGGCAAGGCCTAAAGGAAGGGTAGAAGCAAAAGCCGTAAGGATCATCTCAGACCCAGGATCATGCACTGATACAAAGCATAGGTTTACTACCACTGGGTGGGGGAAAAAACTCTCTCCTAAATATAAGAAGTCATTTTTTCCCTTACTTTTAATTTCTTTAAAGATAACTAACAACGTAAAGTAAAAATGGTAAAAATTTATTGTGGAGTTATACACAGAAGTAAAATGTATGACAATAGCACAAAGGAATTGAGGGAGGAAATAGAAATAATACTGCTATATGGTTCTTATATATGAAGTTGTATATAATTTGAAAGTAGACTTCAAACTAAAAGTGTGTAATGTATACCTTAGAGCAAGAGTCAGCAAACCTTTTCTTAAAGGGCCAGATACTAAATATTTCAGGCTCATGGACATTTGGTCTTTATCACAACTACTCAAGTCTGTCATTGTAGTATAAAAACAATCATTGAAAATATGTAAACAAATGGGTATGGCTGTGTTCCAATAAAAGTTTATTTATGAAAACAAGCCATAGGCGTAGATTAAAATAAAATAGGGGTGCCTGGCTGGCTCAGTCAGTAGAACATGCAACTCTTGATCTTGGGGTTGTGAGTTTGAGCTCCACATTGGGTGTAGCGATTACTTAAAAATTAAAAAGAAAAATCTAAAAAGTATAAATATAGGTATTTGCTGACCTCTACCCTATAGCAACCAGTAACAATTTTCTAAAATGAGAAATAGTGGGCCAATAATGGAGATAAAAGTGAATCATAAAAAACTTCTCAATCTAAAAAAAGGCAAGAAAATGGAAAAACTAGGAAGATAGAAGACATGAGACAAATAGAAAACAAATAGCAAGATGGTAGATTTAAAACCAACCACATCAATAATTACACTGAATGTAAGTGGTCTAAATACCCCTAGTAAAAGGCACAGATTGTCAAACTGGACTAAAAAGTAAGATCTAAATATTTGTAGTCTACAAGAAACCCACTTTGGATATTCAGTAACAGATAAAAGAATGGAGAAAGATACACCATGCAAACACTAATAAAGAGAAAGCTTGAGTGACTATATTAATATCAGACTAAATAAACTTTAAAATAAAGACTATTGCCAGAAATAAAGAGAAACATTACATAATCACATTGGGGTCAATTCATCAAGAAGACACAATAATCCTAAATGTGCATGCATTTAATAACAGCTTCAAAATACATAAAGCAAAACTGATTTGAAGTTGAAGATGTCAACATAATCCTTGCAACTGTTAGAGCATGTTGACAAAATTTAAGAATTCCTTTCATCAAAAGAATCATAAAGATAATAAAAAGACAAGCCATGAACTAAAATCTAGAATGAATTAAATACACAGACACACACACACACACATCGTGGAAAAAATACATATGTATATTAAATGAATCAGTATTTGAAAGAAAATGAGCAAAACATTTGAGTGAAGGCAAATCCAAATGGCCATTAAACATATGAAAACATGTTCAACCAAAGAAAACCATTAGAAAAGAAAAATAAAATATTTGGAATTAAAAATTCAGTGTAAGGATTTAACAGCAGATAAGACACAACTAAAGAGAGAATTAGTAAAATAGATTTGGAAGAAAAATCTGCAGAAATTATCCAAAATGTACAGCAGAGAAACAGGAGACAGAAAATATCTGATACAATGGCAAGTTATGGTTCAATAGAACTTTCAGACATTGCTGCTGGGTACAACCCCCTTGGAAAACATGTGGACATTATTTAGTAAGGCTGAATATGTACAAACAATGCCAGTGCTAGGTACACTGTCTTGATATCCTTATGCACATGTACATTTAAGAGTCATGTAAAATAATGCACATAAAAGCATATTTGTAATACCTGCAAACTGGCAACAAACCAAATGTCCATCATCATAATAAATCAATTATGGTACAGTCATATAATGGAATATTATACAACAATGAAAAAATGAAATGGTATTTTACGTGAAACACGATTGAATCTTGCAATGTTGAACAAAAGTCGTCAAAAATAAAATACTTTCAATATTATTTCATCTTAATGCAATTCAAAACATACAAAACTAAACTACTGTTAAGGAATACATATTTAGGTTGTAAAACTATAAAGAAAACAATTATCTCAAAAAAATCAAAGTAGTAATCATCTCTAGGAAGAAAGAGGATGTGACCAGAGGAAGACACACAATGTTGAAAAGTTCTTATAAGAAAAAGAATAACAACAAAAAACACAGCCTTAGAAACAGCCATTAACTTCTAATAAAAAAAAAAATTAACAGGACAAATGCACAAAGCACTTAGAAAAATGTTGCTTGCAGCAGTATTCATAACAGCAAAAACACTGATACAGTGTTGGGTACATAAGTTATACCACAAGGAATTCTATAATGATGTACATCTATAGTTATTGATATGAAATATCTACAATATATTCTAAAATACAAGAAGAGGCTCTAAGAGGGTTTGTATCTTCATTTTTAAAAGTTAAAAATATTTATTACATACAAGAACTGAAAAAAATAACTGAAAGAATATAAACCAGAATACTAACAGAAGCCATCTCTGGATGGTAGAATTATTTTTAATCTTAATTTTCTTCTTCATAGTTATTGGTGTTTCTAGAACTTTTTAAAAATGAGCATATGCTGGCCAGCATACTTTTTTTGGAGTAAAGCACCAAGAAATTAATACAATTTAAAAACTACACTTGTACAAAATTCAAGGGTTAAATACTCCCACCACAGATTTTTTGGGGTTTTGTGCAAATGTCTGGCCAGTAGCCCAGGATATGAAATATGACACTACTCACAGCTTTATGTAGGCAACTGCCCACTTCATCAGCCACCTGACTTTGTACTTTTCAGGAATGCTGGGATTCTACTCTGAATTTTTTTTCCCAGGTCTTTTTCCCCTTTAACCTTTAAGTAATGCCATGACTGGGAAGCAATATTTAACAGTGTAGCAGAGACAAGCCTAAATCAAGGAGGTAAAGATTCTCACTGAGCATCTCACTGGCATCAAATAAAATAGGTGGATCTCATCCACATGTCTCATCAGAAATAATAAAACATATCAGAAGGGTAAATACTAAAGAAGGTGCTAAGTTTGAACTATTATTGGATATAGCACAAACTTAGAATGTAAGAATGGCTATAATTGATGATGGAGAAAAATGCAACTGGTTAAGAACATGTATATTTTGCAGCTGTAATGGACGTTGTCATTAATTGGAGGGGTTCATTTACAAATGTTTAATATATTTGCTTTTCCATCACAGTTTATTTCCTTACACAATATTTTTTCAGTAAGTTCTTATAGTACAGTTCCAGCTTTATTTATAGGTTTAATTTTGTTTATCTACCACTTTTTAAGAACTGAACTATCACTACACTGATGAATGTAATCATATAAAAATTTATGATTCTTTGAAATACAAATGTCTCCCAGCATTAAAGTTGATTTGCTTTGGTTTGATACAGTTATTGTGGCTAAGATCCTTCTCACTTACAGTAATAACACCAAGGTTCTATGCAGTGATCACTTCCTTTTTCCTTTAGCCTTAACTTTATCTGAAACTATTATATAAGAAGGTAGTAGAGTTTAAGTGCGATAAGTATTTTGATTTGGCTTTTAACATAGTAATTAAATTTTTTTTTCTCTCACTTGGTGAAACTATTTTTAAAAATCCCCAAATGGAATTGTAGCTTTCCTTTTATACTGCTACATTTGTGTAAGGCTAGATTTGCCCAGAATTTGCTCACAGACCTGACTACTAAAACGTACTATAATAACCTCTTTGTTTTTCCCATTCCAGTTGAAATCACCTTCTTCCTGATTTTTGTTAAGAAGCTCTTTCAAAGTGTTTACTAAAAAACTGGGATCTGTTCCAGGTTCTTCGTTCAACAAAGTTACACTAAGTGGTCTGTGGATTATTCCATCAGCCTCAGCAACACCATTATTAGTCTGCTGCCCATCTAAAGAAACAGTTGATGCTGAATAAATATTTCCTAAATGATCCATTATAGGAAGCAAATATAATTCTGGTTGAAGAGCCTAAAACATATAGAAAATTAAAAAAAATTAGTTTGTAATTTAAAAAAGTTAAAAAAAATTAACATAAGTTTAAAATGTCACATTACATACATATGGAGGAGCAAATGATTTGAGTTTCAGTTCTGATTCTTGCTTTACCTTCACCTAGAAATAAATAAATGACAAAAAAATAAAGCTTTTGTAAGTTTTCAATTATTTTTATTCCTTTTTTTTGCAGAAGGCACATACCTGTAACATAAAAATCAAATCTAAAAGCTGATAACTAAGGCTAGAGTCTAGAAAATGTAGAACATAATCCTATTTCTATTCACTATACAAAACATAAAAGAAATTCTATGTCATTTAGTAGTAATAATTATGGCTATCACTTGCATGGACTCACTATATGCCAAGCACTATTTTAAGTGCTTTACATACATTAGCTCAGTTAATCCTCACAATTCCATGTGATAGGCACACATATTACATATAGTTCACAGACAGTAAGATTGAGGAAAGAGAAGTTAAATAACTTGCCCGTGATTTTATAACTACAAATTTTCCAAATTGGGATGCAAAACCAGATAATCTGGCTCCAGAGTCCAATGTCGTAAACTTTATTTCCTAAATATACAACCCACAGAGTTCATTTGTTATTCATCCATCCATCCATTCATTCATTCATTCAACAAATACTAGGGCATACTATGGGTCAGGCAGACCCACACTATGGGTCAGAACTATGTGTTCTATATGGTGGGAGATACAATGGTAAACAGGGCAAAGTCCTTGCTCTCATGTAGCTTATATTCTACTTAAGAGAATGGATGTTAAATAAACATGATTTAGGATAGTGATATGTGATTTATGAAAACAAAAAACTGATGTAATAGAGAACAACTTAAGAGAAAGAATATCTAAAATATTCTAAAAAAGGGTCAGAGAAGACCCTTTTGCAAAGATAGTACTTGAGACTGAGAACGTGAATTATGAAAAGAAAAAGCAAGTTATTTGAAAATCATGGGGAAGTAATTTCCAGGCAAGTGCAAAGAACATAAATCAGAAAGGAGTTTGTTGTATTTGAGGACCAAGGATTTTTGCGTTTGAAATGGAGAACCAAGAAGAAAAATAGCAGCAGATTTCATCTGCTATTCCTTAGGCCCTCCGTATCTCTGGCCTAACCATTGCAAAAGTCTCCTAAAGTCTCCTAGTTACAATCCCTGCCTCTAGTCTCTGAAGGCTCCAGTCACGTCATCCTTTGCTCAAAAACTCCAATGCTTCAGAAACAAACAAAACTCATTAATCTGGCATTCAAGACCTTCAACAAATCACTTTACAACTTGTTCTCTACTATTACATTTTACACCATGTTCCAATAAAAAAGGAAACATTTAGTCTTTCTTAGTTGCCTGTTTTTCCACTTCTGTGCTCATTCTATTTTCTCTGCTCAGAAAGCTTTTCCTACCCAACATTTTTGCAAGATCAAATATTTATTTTTTTTAAAGATTTAATTTATTTGAGAGAGAGTGAGAGAGCAAGAGAGAGCGCACCAATGAGAAGCAGAGGGAGAAGCAGGCTCTCTGCTGAGCAGGGAGCCCTGAGTAGGGAGCCCGACGCAGGGCTCTATTCCAGGACTCTGGGATCATGACCTGAGCCAAAGGCAGATGCTTAACTGACTGAGCCACCCAGGTGCCCCCAAATATTTATCTTTCAAGATCCAAACGAAAGTCCTCTATCTCCCTTCTTCTCCTACTGGAAGAAGTCCTTTTTTCTTCTGAATATACAAAATACACTATTTTAATTATTTACGTATTCTCTCTTCACCACTACAGTGAATACTCTTTAAGGGCAGGATCCATATCCAGTTCTTTTTTCTCATTTTGTTTATAGAAAAACATCAATAAATATTAGGACTTCAGAAGTTGATTTAAATTATCTTTATTAAGGTCTCTTCCAACATAGGATTCTGTGATTGATATTTTGTATTTTAGATATTATGAACAAAAAGAATTGTTCTTTTTCTTCCTTGTTTGAGAAAAACTTAAAGATGAGTAAATTGATATTTTACCATACTGAATAGAATTCAAATGACAAAAACTTCATATTTAGCTGATCTTGAGAATTCCACATAGCAAATTACTTTGGGAATGCTTTTTTTCCCCATTACCATTATTTAATTTGTCCAATAAGCATTTAAATGCCTCTAAGTGCTAAACACTTTGTTAGGCACCGTATAATTGTGAATAAAGTCCCAGTTCACAGGGAGTTATATAAAAATTTATTTGATAATCAAATATAGTCTAATGGCAGAGTCAGATGTTAAATAAACAATCACATAAATACTAAAGACAATATGTTAATTAGAGTGAAATAGGAATATACCTTATTTTTAATATAGAAAATCTTGATTAAAGAAATAAACCTTATGTAGTTAAAAGAAACCAGAAACTTTGAGATCTGATAGCTTGCTGGATTAAGAATTTTAGCTAGGAAAATTCTACTTAGAAAATCCTGCCATTAAATCACAGAAACTATAAACAGGAGTGTTCAAGAGATAATAGTTGAAACAAACAAACAAAAAATTGTTGGAGTCCTATCATTTCACATCAAATGAGGCTAGCTGTGGCCCGAACAATGAGAACCCATTTTTGTCCAGAACACAAGTACTTATTTAAATGTTTTAGGGGGTGCCTGGGTGGCTCAGTCAGTTAAGCGGCCGACTCATGATTTGGATTCAGGGTTGTGAGATTGAGCCCTATGTCAGGCTCACATTGAATGTGAAGACTGCTTAAGATTCTCTCTTTCCCTTTGCCCCACGCCCCGCACCCACCCCCCCAGCTCATGCACACACATGCGTGTGCTTTCTCTCTCGCTCTCAAAAGTTTTTAAACACTCATTTAAATTTAAAAATACATATTATGTACATAATCACATTTTAACTTTGTCTTCCTTTTCTTCCCAAGGAAATGCACACTCCAAAATATCCCCATCCTTTTAGTGCCCAATAATATGCCAAAAAGACCCATTTCTTTCTTGATGATCTATGTATTTAGTGATATTTCCATTTTGTCATGATTGATAATACTTATCCCATTTATAGAAGCTGAATTGACAAGAAGCTGAGTTGATAAGCATTTAAAAAACATAATTTGTTAAGTTATGCTTTTTTTTAATCAAAAGGAAAAAAATAAGAAAACTTACCACAGCTAGATTATTTCCAATGCATTTCAGAAATAAAAATTTTTCTGCAACAGCATCTTCACCAAGGAACTCACCAAGTCGCTCTCTCAGCGCTTGTAAAGTAAGGTGAGGAGATACTCTGAAATATCATGACATTGCCTTATAATGTAAAATGAAATAGGTTTCAGCTATACTACAAATTCTATAACATTAGTCAGCTATCTCAAACATAAATACTAATTTAATGTATCACATATAGATCAATATATTGTGTTTTTACATTGTGTGGCACTTTGTAAAACTTCAGGAAATTTTTAAAAAATAAAATGATTATGCAAATAAATACTGTTTATAAAAAGTCCTTTCTGTACTGAAAAGGAAAATGCTTGTCTACTTTTCTCATCATCAACACAGAAGGATACTCCGAACTGTATTATTAAAAAAAAAACTTTGCTATGGAATTTATATACTTTTATACATAAAGAATGATTTAGCCACAGATATTTATTTTGGAAGTTTGACAGGATTAGCTAGTGCTTAAAATTTCTTTGATAATCAAGTATTGTCAGACTCCACATCTCTGCTCATTAGGAATACTTCACTCCTCAACATCTAAAATTTAAAGCCATCATTTATGGTACTGTTTTGAGGTTTTGTTTTTTAGAATCTTACGGGAAACATTATGTAATTAATTCATTCAACCAAAAAATATTTATTGAGCCCCCACTATATGTCAGGCATTGTTCTAAGGATGGGAAAATGGCAATCAACAAAAGAGACAAAAATCTCTGCTCTTATAGACTTTATAAATCTAATGGTGGGAAAGAAAAAGAGACAAACTATGAAAACATATAATTCCTAAGACACTGCTAAGTATTATAAAGAAAAATAAAGCAGTGAAGGAAGGGTAGCTACAATTTTAAATATAGTGATCAGAGAAGATCTAAACAAAAAAGTAATATTGAAGTAAAGAGCTAAAGAAGAAATAGGATATCTAATGGCAGAAAGAGCATTCTAGACTAAGAGAAGAGCAAGTACAAGGGTCCTGAGGTAGGTCCATATCTGATGTGTTCCAGAACAAAAACAAGGCCAGTATGCTTGAAGTGATGGGGAAGATAAGGAATAATGTCATGTGCGCTTCATACATGTATATACATTTACATATACATACATGTAAGTGTATGTACACATATAGTCTGTTTCGATTTTGAAACAGTTCAGTGAAAAAAGTCATTGTGGATATACTGATTTAACCACTATTCACAGCTCAACAGGTTCTAAATACAGATAATTTCTCTATTAATTCTCTTTGTGTGTAATGATAGTAATACCCCAGTTATACCCTTTTCTCTGGGTGTCAGTGACACCTGGCTAAGTGACATCTGTTTCTACAGTACTTATTAACTGTTACATAGCATTATTTATTGATAGTATTAAGTTAGAAACTGGATCCATAACATGGACCAGAGTTTTTCACTTACAACTTAAATTTCCAAAAAACATTTTTCTCTGCAGAAAAAAAAGACTGCTTTTCAGGCACATTATAACATGACCACAAAATACTTGCCTTATAAATCCAGCTGAAATGAATTTGTTAACAACTTCTATTGAAATGGTATTTAGCTTATAGTTCCATGATCCTTCAGGGACATAGAAAACATGAAGTTCCACCAACTGAATAAATTGAGAAGAATGTCAGTTAAAATATTTTTAAAGTGAAAAAAATAACTGATGTCCTCTAGAATTTTAAGCTTAATAAACATAATTAAAATAAACATGGAATACATGTATCCTTCTGAACAAACACAGAAAACAAAATGAAGAGCCAAAATTTTGGTTAGTTGGCTACTTGGCACTTGGAGCACATCTTTTCCTTAAAAACAATGTCATAGACGTGGTCCTAGGGTACCCTAACATCTCTGAATACAGTGTTCTTTCTGTGGCTTGAAGTAAGAGTACGAGACCACCAACATCAGTTTCTGCTTACCAACCTTTTCCTTTCCCCTGATCCCTACCTACTCAGTTCTGTTGGGGTGATCTTGTGGAATCCTTATACTTTATATATTGTCTCCCTAACATAGTTGTGATAACTGCTAGTTCCTAGCAACTGCAAAAGTGTGAATACTGTGGTTTGGGAAATATTGTTGTTTCCCTGAATTCTAGGAAGAACCTATTCCTGATGGTTATAGGGAAGGAAATGGTTGTTCTTACATAGGTCATGTCTGTCAGTTTAGCTTGACTGTCCTTATAAAGGCCACTTTCTTTTCTATTAGTGTTTTGTTAAACCTCAATTAGAATCCTTCTACTTAGAAGAATATTTAGATTATTACAACAGAAACAGAACAATTATAGCAAATATTCCTATCCTTTAGTCTAATGATGTTATTCATTGCATATTAAAATTTAGATGATTATGCTCTACAATATTAAATACCTGAGAAAAACTTTAAAAAGTTGAATATGACCTATCATTAAAAATAGAAATTTTTACAGGAGATAAAATTCATTTTTGAAATGAATGTTTTGCTCAAGTTGTTTTTATAGACCAAGTAAATTATTTCTATGCATTTGATACATGTATAGATCTGATGTGAAGTTTGCCATATTCTATATTTTGAACACCAGAGCATTTAAAATTCCCTAGCTATATTATACTATTCTTAGCTAACACTACACTATACTATTAATACTAGAATATTTAATAGTTATACAATTATATATTTGCAAAACCTTCAGAAGACTTAATATGACCTTATCCTTTATATAGATGCATTAATAATTTACAGGATAAAAATATTTATTGAACTAAACATTTTACTCTGTTCTTATAAACCAAGTAAATTCTGTCAATATTTTTTATAATTCATGAACTATAAAAGTGTTTGTACAGATTTAATTCCTTAATTAAATGAGTAGGCAATACAGAGAAAATATAGTTAATAAAACATTTCTGTAAAATAATTTATAGTGAATTTGTATTTATTCATTCCCTCAGCAAATATTTACTGAATGTCTACCATGTGCCAGCACTGGTCTAGGCAACAGGAATATGCAGTCAATAAGACAAAGATCCTTGCCTGCGTATAGTTTTACATTCTAATGAGGTATCAGGATAAGAAGGGTGAGGCAAGTGAGGCACTCACCGCAGATACAAAATTTAAGGCTGTACCAAAACCTCAGTGATCAAGATAAATAACATTAAAAAAAAACGCAACTCAACGCAAAAAATTTCATGATAAACAAAATATCAAAAATTTAAATACAGAATTTAATACTACTATTAGAGCCTGAGGAAAGAGGAAAAATATGAACTTCAATACATGTTTCTTAAAAAAAAAATACATTTCTTAATGGTCAACTTTTTCCAGAATAACCAAGTAGTTGAAAAAAATACTGAAAATTTCAAAAGTGTGTATTAAAATTCACAACATTATTTTAAGGTCAAATATTCTATTTATATCAAAACATGAATTTATTATAATTTTACCTTCCTGGCTCTCATGGAAGCAAGCTCATCAGTAATATTTTCATCAAAACTATTAACCATTTAAAAATATACTAAAAGGTATTTTTAGGGGCACATATCTTGCCTTTTGCCTCAGGCTCCAAAATGGCTAGGCATAGCACTATCAGATTCTATTTCTATTTAAAATGTTGCTTTTATGGATCTTTTGCATCAGTTTTTCATTAAAAAAAAATCTTGTATTGATTATTTATCGTAATTATGGAGGTTGTGTGTGTGCCCCCTAAATATTGCACCCAAGGCAAGTGACTCATTTGCCTCAGACTAGTCCCAGGCCTGTGAAGGACACAGACAATAACTACTAAATATAAAACACTTCTACATTATACAGCACATGAGAAAGGGCTAAGTACTGGGGAAAAGGACAAGAAGAGCAGGGTAAGGCAAACTGGAAAGATAAAAGGGGAAATAGGTTTCAGTTTTAAATAGTCTGGGCAGGTCTTATAGAAAAGGTGAGATTGAAGTAAAGATTGCAGGGGAAGAAACAACTAGCCAAGTGATGATGCAGAGGGAAAGAGTTCCAAGAAGAGCTAAAGCAAAGTTTTTTTCTGTTTTTTGTTTTTGTTTTTTTTAAGATTTTATTTATTTGCTAGAGAGAGAGTGGAGTCAGGGGCAGAGGGAGAAGCACACTCCCTGCTGAGCAGGGAGCTAGATCCCAGGGTCCTGGACTGAAGGCAGACACTTAACCACTTAACCAACTGAGCCACCGAGGCACCCCTAAAATAAAGGTCTTAAGGTGAGAGTGTGCTAGTATGACTGAAGCAGGGAACAGTAAGACATAAAGTAAGAAAAATGAGGAAGACAAGGAACAAAATAAATTGGGTTTTCCAGGCCATTTTAAGATCTTCCATTTCAGAAAATGGGAAGCCGATACAGAGTTTTAATAGAAGGACATCTGACATTCATTTTACAGTTTTATTTTAACAAGAAAAATTCTAAACATACATACAAATAAAAGGAATAATACTATGAATACCCAAATACCTACTATGTAGATTCAAAAATTAACATCAGGCCACATTTACTTTCTCTCACCCTCTCTCTCTCTTTTTTAAAGGCAGACTGCCACATTGCAGCGCTTTATTTGGATGTGTCTTAAGTCTTAGAAGTTTGACTACCCTACCTTCTCCTACAAATGGACCTTGAGAGCTTGTTTGGAGGTTCTAGCAGGGGAGCACAGCTGCTCGTATACCCTTGACTGAAGAATGGTGCTCCTTTATTGGGGAAGGTCCTCCTCTTCAACCCAGCATGCAGCTTTGGGAGGGATGCACATGGAGCAGTGAGGGAGGAAGGGGACACCCACCTAGCCAGCCAGATCAGCCAAATCAACCTTGGCGATCAATGGGCTGACAAATGTTGCAGAGTGTCCTCACATCCTCTATCCCTTTCTTGATAAACCATTCAAAGTAAATTAGACATTGTGAAAATATACTTCTAATACCTTGGCAGCCATCTTCTAAAAATAAGGATTTCTCCAACATGATCACAGTACCATATCACATTTAAGAAAATTAATAATCCCTTAATGTAAAATAGTATCCATTCCATATTCAAATTTCCTCAATGTTTTTTCAATCTACAATCCAATCAAGGATAGCACTTTGCATCTGGTTTGTCACATCCTTAATCTTAATCCGCAAATTCTTCCATACCTGTTTTCTTTTTCCCCTCCTTCATGGCATTAACTTCTTGAAGAGACTGGGCCAGTTGTTTCAAAGAATGTTTTGCATTCTGAATTTACCTTATTATCTCAAGATGTCATTTAACTTAATTCTCCAATCCCTTTTTTTAAAAACATAGTATAGTTTAAGATTTTTTTAATCATGAAAAGTGTATTCTTCAATCCCCATCCCCTATTTCCTCATTCCCCCAACCCCCCTCACCTCTGATAACCATCAGTTTGTTTTCTACAGTTAAGAGTCTGTTTCTTGGTTCGTCTCTCTCCCCTTTTCTTTGCTCATTTGTTTCTGAAATTCCGCATATGAGTAGGATCACATAGTATTTGTCTTTCTCTGACTTATTTCGCTAAGCACTATACTCTCTAGCTCTACCCATTTTGTTGCAAATGGCAAGATTTCATTCTTTATGGTTGAATAATACTCCATTGTATATAAAGACTTCTTCTTTACCTGGTCACCTACAAATGGACACTTCATCTGCTTACATAGTTTGGCTACTATAAGTAATGCTGTAATAAGCATAGGGGTGCATGTACTCTTTTGAATTAATGTTTTTATATTCTTTGGGTAAATAGTAGTGTGATTACTGGATTGAAGGTTAATTCTATTTTTAATTTTTTGAGGAATCTTCATACTGTTTCCATGGTGGCTGCACCAGTTTGCAGTCCCACCAACAGTGCAAGAAGATTCCTTTTTCTCCATAGCCTTTCCAACACTGGTTTCTTGTATTATGGGGTGATAACTCATTGTAGTTTTGATTTGCATTTTCTTGATGATGAGTGATGTTGAGCATCTTTTCATGTGTCTGTTGGCCATCTGGATGTCTTTGGAGAAATGTCTGTTCATGTCTTCTGCCCATTTTTTATTATTTTTTTGGGGTATTGAGTTGTATCAGTTTGTTACATACTTTGGAACACTAACCCTTTACTGGATGTTATCTGCAATATCTTCTCCCATTCCATAGGTTGCCTTTTAGTTTTGTTGATTGTTTCCTTCACAGTGCAGAAGCCTTTTATTTTGATGTAGTCCCAATAGTTAATTTTTGCTTTTATTTCCCTTGCCTCAGGAGACATATCTAGAAAACTGTTGCTCTGACCGATGTCAGAGAAATTACTTTCCAGGATTTTTATGGTTTCAGGTTTTGCATTTAGGTCTTTAATCCATTTTGAGTTTATTTCTGTGTATGGTGAAAGAAAGTGGTCTAGTTTCATTCTTTGCATGTGGCTGTCCAGTATTCCCAACACCATTTGTTGAAGAAACTGTCTTTTTCCCACTGTATATTCATTCCTTGTCGAAGATTAATTGACCATATAATTATGGGTTTATTTCTGGGTTTTCTGTACTATTCCATTGATCTATGTGTGTATTTTTATGTCAGTGCCATACTGTTTTAATTGCTACTGCTTTGTAATATGACTTGAAATCTGGAATTGTGATTCCTCTAGTTTCGTTTTTCAAGATTGCTTTGGCTATTCGAGGTCTTTTGTGGTTCCATACAAATTTTAGGTTTGTTCGTTCTAGTTCTGTGAAAAATGCTATTGGTATTTTGATGGGGATTGCATTAAATCTGTAGATTGCTTTGGGTATTATAAACATTTTAACAATATTTGCTCTTCTAACCCATGAGTATGGAATGGCTTTGCACGGTCTTGAATTTCTTTCATCAGTGTTTTATGGTTTTCAGAGTACAGGTCTTTCACCTCTTTGGTTAAGTTTATTTCTAGATATTTTATTGTTTTTGGTGCAATTGTAGATGGGATTATTTTCTTAACTGCACTTTCTGCTGCTTTATTATTAGTGTATAGGAATGCAACAGATTTCTATACATTGATTTTGTATCCTGTGACTTTACTGAATTCATTTATGAGTTTTAGTTTTTTGGTGGAGTCTTCAGGGTTTTCTATATATAGTATGTCATCCACAAATTGTGAAAATTTTACTTCTTCCTTCCTTCTACCAATTTGGATGCCTTTTATTTACGTTGTCTAATTGCTATGGCTAGGACTTCTGGTACTATGATGAATAAAAGTGGTAAGAGTGGACATCCTTATCTTATTCCTGACCCTGGGAGAAAAGCTGTCAGGTTTTCACCACTGAGTATGATGTTGGTTGTGAGTTATTCATATAAGGCCTTTATTATGTTGAGGTACGTTACCTCCAGATTTACCTTGCAGAGTTTTTAATCATGAATGGATGTTGTACTTTGTCAAATGCTTTTTCTGCATCTATTGAAATGATACGGTTTTTATCCTTTCTCTTATTGATATTACATATCATGTTTATGGTTTTATGAATATTGAATTACCTGTGCATACCAGGAATAAATCCCACTTGATTGTGGTGTACGATTTTTTTAAACGTATTGTTGGATTTGGTTTGCTAATATTTTGTTGAGGATTTTTTTATCTATATTCATGAGAGATACTGGCCTGTAGTTCTTTTTACGGTGTCTTTATCTAGTTTTGGTATCAGGTGGATACTGGCTTCATAAATTGGATTTAGAAGTCTTCTTTCCTCTTGTATTTTTTGGAGCAGTTTAAAAAGAATAGGTATTAACTCTTTAAATGTTTGGTAGAATTTCCTTGTGAAGCCATCTAGCCCTGGACTTTTGTTTTTTGGGAAGTTTTTGATTACTGATTCAATTTCATTGCTGGTAATTGGTCTAGTCAAATTTTCTATTTCTTTCTGCTTTAGTTTTGGTAGGTTATATGTTTCTAGGAATTTACTCATATAAATTGTCCAATTCGTTGGCATAAAGGTTTTCAAAATATTCTGTTACAATTGTTTGTATTTCTCTGGTGTTATTTCTCCTTTTGCATTAGTGATTTTATTTGGGTCCTTTTTTTTTTTTTAATGAATCTTGCTAGAGGTTTATCAATTTTGTTGATCTTTTCAAAGAAACAGCTCCTGGTTTCACTGATCTGTTCTATTGGTTTTTTTTTTTTAAGTTATCATTTATATCTATTCTAATCTTTATTATTTCCTTCCTTTTGCTGGGTTTGGGTTTTGTTTCTCTTTTTCTAGCTCTTTAGGTGTAAAGTTAGGTTCTCTGAGACTTTTCTTGCTTCTTGAAGTAGGCCTGTATTGCTATAAGCTATAAATTTCCCTCTTAGGGACCACTTCTGCTGCAGCCCAAAGATTTTGGGCCATTGTGTTTTCATTTTGTTTCCATGTAATTTTTGTTTTCTTCTGAGATCCCTATAATGCAAATGTTATTATGCTTGATGGAGTCACTGAGTTCCCGAAGACTGTTCTCAATATGCATAATTTTCCTTCCTCTCCTTTGCTCAGCTTGGTTATTTTCCATTACTTGTCTTCCAGGTCATTAATTTGTTCCTCTGCTTTATCTAGACTGGCATTTATTCCATTAAATGTATTTTTAATTTCACTTACTGTGTTCTTCATCTCTGATCTTTTTTTTAATCTCTTTCTTAAGGGTCTCACTGATGTCCTCCACTCTTTTCTCAAGTCCAGGAGTATGTTTATGATCATTACTTTAAATTCTCTATCAGGCATATTACTTATATGTTTTACTGTGGTATTTTGCAGTGGTTTGGTCCTGTTCTTTCATTTGGGAGAGATTTCTGTCTCATTTTGTTTGACTTTCTATGTCTGTTTCTCTGTGTTAGGAAAGTCAGCTATTTCTCTTGCTCTTAACAATAATAGTCTTATGAAGAAGAGGTCCTAGAGTGCCCTGCAGTGCAGTGTCCCATTCCCCAGGGCCTGGAGCTTCAGAGAGTGTCTCCTATGTGTGTTGCATGTGCTCTGCTGTTGAGTCTTGGCCTCTTTTTCCTTTAGTCATCTGCAGAGGCTCTCTTTGCCTATTATGAGTATCATTTTGTCCCCAGCAGGAATGGGGTGCATTTTAACAAGGTGTGTGGTTATCTGCTTATGAAATAAGACCTGCTCCTGCTACTATCAGAAATGCATGAGTGAGCAGATTTGGTGCTGGCAGGGTTTGCACCAGTCTTCTGGGGGAAGAACCTGCAGCACCAGGTCTGAGACAAGCGGGACTGGGAAGGGCTGATCTGCCAAAGCATGAGGGCGCAGGGCTTGGCGTAAGCAAGTTAGGTAACAACTGGTTCCTACAAGTGGCCACTGTTTATTCTGGGGGTGGGGGAGGGAAATGGCACCTACCAGTTCCTTTGTTCCTGGAGGGGTCTCCTGGTGATCCCTGTGTCTCTGAGGTATGCTCTGAGATGAGCAAATCACTTTCCTTCCCCCAGCGGTTTTCTAACTGCTGGTTCTACCTTGTATCTGCATGGGCTGTTTTGTGAGCTCTGTATGGGCAGGGCCTCCACTTCCTACTGCCCTCTGTCCTCTCCCAGAGCAGAGCCTGCTGATTTTTAAAATTCCAGGCTTTAAGTCGCACTGGTTGTTAGAACTCAAGAAATTCAGCCCCTCTCATTTACAAAGGCAAATATTACAGGGATTCGTCCTCCCTGTTCATGGGCTCCCTGGTGTGAAAATCTATTTTCCGCCCCCTCCCTACCACTGGTTCTCTGCCCAGTGAAGATGGCCATGGTCCATTTTGCTCTCAGACCATGTCTTTGCCCTTCCTAACTCCTTTGGTGTGGCTTTTTCCCTGCCTTTAGTTGAAGAGTCTGTTCTGCCAGTCTTTTTCATGTCATTTTCTGGGTTACTTACACTGATAAGAATGTTATCTAGTTGTATCCATGGAATGAGGTGAGCTTAGGGTCCTCCTATTCTGCCATCTTCCCAGCCAACCTCATTTCATAAGCATTTTTGAAATGAAGTCCTCTATCTCTCTGTACAGCCTTCAACTGATGCAAATTAGTCACCTAGGGGCATAAAACTTTATAAATGGTGCCCTGTATTTCATATTGCTTCACATCAGGACACATATAATGTTACACTTGCAAATTTTGCTATGTTTAGTAACTATTAAAGGGATAATAGATTAGGTTGTAAGGGATAAGAAAATGGAAACTGTTATGAAGCTATCAGAATAATTAAAATATGAGATGATGGTGGCTCACTCCAAGGTACGAGCAGTAGAGATGATGGGAAGTGGTCAGATTTTTTATATAATTTGAAGCTAAAGTCAGTACATTGGAAGTGAAGTTTAAGAAAGAAGTACAACTCCAGGGCATTTGGCCTTAGATAGTCAAAGGATGGATTTGCCATTACCTGAGATGGAGAAAGTCAAATAGAACATGTTTAGGGGAGGGGGGAAAAGATTCATAATTCAGTTTGAGACATGCTAATTTTAAGATGTTTACTGGCCATCCAGGTGGAGATGTCAAGTAGGCAGTTGAAAATACACATCTGTAGTTTGGGAAAGAGGACTAGATTGGGGATATAAATTTGGGATCCTTAGCATAAAGTTGGTATTTAAAGCTATTATACTGAAGGAGATCATCAAAGAGTAAGTGCATTTACAGAAGAGAACAAAGAGCTGGTTCCTGAAATTCTCCAATATTAAGAGGTCAAAAAGAAGAAAAACCAGCAAAGAAGACTGAAAATGAACAAGTAGAAGGAAAACCAAGATATATGTATGCTAAAAGTGAAGGAATTATGTCAAAGAAGAGTGATCAATAGTGTCAACTGTTTTGCACAGATAGATCAGACTATATGGGGTAAGAATTAAACAACATATTTAGTGATGTAGAAGTAAATTTAACAAGAGCAATTTTGGTGCAGTAGTAGAAAGAAAGTGATCACAGTTGGTTTAAAGAGAAAATGGAGAAGGTACTGAGGGTATGGAAAGGTATGAAATAGTTGTCTAGAACAGTAGAAAAGTGAGTGAGCAGAAGATAGTCTGTTTGCCTACCAGCAAAAGGTTCTAGTTTAGATTCATGGTCATGACTTTAAAGTGAGAACAGTCTTCATGTTGGTATACTTTTCTTCCAGTCACGTTCCATTGCTGGCATGGGTATAGCATAGGTGAAGAATTCAATAAACCAGGGTTTTTGTTTTGCCAAGCAGTATGATGAAATGAGAGAGGCAAAGAGTCAAAAGTATAAGCAAGAGAGTAATCAAGACTGCTCTGTGGTATTTAAGCTATGGAGGGCATCACAAGGTGAAGAATTAAAAAAAAAAAAAGTGATAGCATCAATGCACTGGGGGGGTTCCAGTACAATCAGCTAGAGATAAAAGAACTGTAATAAAATAACTATAATCAGACAATGAGATACACAGTGGAGTTAATATCTAAAACTTTATACAATCCATATTTTTTCTTCCTCAGAACTCTTCAAAAGCAATGTTAAGCAAGTCTTTCTTATATTTTATTTTAAAAGATTTTCTTACCTCTGAGGAGGAAGGTCGGCTTGGACTGAGGGACATATTCACCAGTGTCTGAATGGGGTAATTATCAGTTGGAATTCTGTGGGTTTTTTTTTTATCTTTCTTCATTTAAGTAGTATTTATAAAGGTTGTAACAGATTTTTGACTTAAGACAGCATTCCACTCATTTCTGGTTTCTGATTCATTCGAAAGTGAAAAGAAAAACACAGAAGGCTTTAAAATAGACCAAAAATGAAAACTTAGGAATGTATACACTCATTATAGTAATTTGAAAAGACATATTACTAGTAAGTAGGACTGGGAATGCAATAAAATGAACATATATCCCATACAACTAAATAGAGTGCTAAGTTATATTATGATAGAATTGTGATCAGGGCATATTTTACTATTCTAAACAATTCATTTTCTCAAGTTTGAAAATTAAAGTTAAATATATATGGTATTTTACATAAAGTAGAACTATGCTTCTGGAAGTGGAAAGACTAAATTTGTACAAATGGCTATAGAATGATGAAAACCATTTTACCACATGTATTTCTTCCTAGGCTTGGATACCTCAATAATAAATGTGAACAATTATTCCAGATGAAAATATCAGTTTTTAAGTATTTTAAGCTATGTTTGTGTATTGTTTCCTGTATTTTTCCTCTGAGGATTTATAACAGTTTACAAGAAAACACAGTAAAATTTAAATTATATAAAAATTAAAAAATAAGGGAGCTGAATTACTGTAAAAAAGAATTATCAAAGTTGGACAATCCTTAAGGATACAAAAAGATAGCGATACCAGAACAGAAGCCTCTCCAAGATTCCAAAGCATTGCTCCATCTTGATTTATATTAAATTAGTGAGTTAAAAAAAAAAGTGTACAATTTCTGTAATTTGGTACTGATTACAGCTTTATGAAATCATACCAGAGATCACTAATTGTTCTAATGGTATCAAAATTTAAAAATTATATCCTGGGACAAAACATCTTTTATTTTTTATTAAAAAAAATCAATGAAACAAAGAGTGGGTCTTTGAAAAGATAAACAAAATTAATAAACTGTTAGCCAGATTCAAGAAAAAAGGGAGAGGATTTAATAATATCAGAAATGAAAGAGAATAAACTTCATCACAGAAATACAAAGGATTATAAAAGACTACTATGAGAAATTATATGCCAACAAATTGGACAGCCTAAAAGAAATAAATTCATAGAAAATACAATACGCCAAGACTGGATCAAAAAGAAAGAAAAAATCTGAACAGACCGATTACTAGTAACAAAATTCAATCAGTAATCAAAAAGGTCCTAACAAACAAAAGTCAGGGCACCAGGTAGATTCACAGGTGAATTTACCAAACATTTGAAGAAGAGTTACTACCCACTCTTCTCAAACTTTTCCAAAAAAACAGAAGAGGAAGGAAAACTTCCAAATTCATTCTACCAGGCCAGCATTACCCTGATACTAAAACCAGACAAAGACAATACAAAAAAGGAGAAAATCACATCTTCTACAAGATGTTAACAAATGAATTTCAAAATTTAAAACAATCATTTACCACAATCAAGTAGGATTTATTCTAGGGATACAAGGGGGGCTGCAATATTCACAAATCAATCAACATAGTAAGTCACACTAATGAGAAAGTATAAAAACCATATGATCATTTCGATAGATGCAGAAAAAGCATTTGAGAAAGTACAACATCCATTCATGATAAAAACTCTCAACATGATAGGTTTAGAGAACATCAACATAATAAGGCCACACATGAAAAAGTCACAGCTAACATCATACTCAATGGTGAAAAACAGAGCTTTTCCTCTAAGCTCAATAACAAGACAAGGATGCCCACTTTCACTGCTTTTATTCAACATAGCATTGGAAGTCCAGGCTGCAGCAATTAGACAAGAAAAAGAAATAAAATGCATCCAAACTGGTAAGGAAGAACTTAAACTGTCCCCATGTATAGATGACATAATATATATTATATATAGAAAACCTTAAAGACTCCACTAAAAAACCGCTAGAACTGATAAATGAATTCGGTAAAAGTGCAGGATACAGAATAAACAGAAATCTGTTGTGTTTCTATACACTAATAATGAAGTACCAGAAAGAGAAATTAAGAGAACAGTTCCATTCACAATTGCACCAAAAGAATAAAATACCTAAAAATAAGCTTAATGAGTGGGTAAAAAAACCCATACTCTGTAAACCATAAAACACTGATGAAAGACATTAAAGATAACACAAAGGGAAAGATACTGCATGCTCATGGAAGATTTAATATTATTCAAATGTCCACACTACCCACCCAAAGCAATCTACAAATTCAATGTATTCCCTATCAAAACATCAACAGCATTTTTTATAAAACTAGAAGAAATAATACAAAATTTGTACGGAAGTACAAAAGATCTGAAATCGCCAAAGCAATCTTGAGAGAAAAGAATAAAGATGGAGGGATTACAACCCCAGATTTCCAGATATATTGCAAAGCTGTAGTAGTCAAAATAATACGGTACTGGCACAAAAAGAGACACATAGATCATTGAAACAGAACAGAGAGCCCAGAAATAAAACAATGATTATATGGTCACTTAATCTATAACAAAGGAGGCAAGAATATACAATGGGGGAAAAGATAGTCTCTTCAACAAATGGTGCTGGGAAAATGGGACAGTGACAAAAAAAAAAAAAAAAGGGAAAAGAAACTGGACTGTCTCCACCCATACACAAAAATAAACTCAAAATGGATTAAAGACCTAAATGTGAGACCTGAAGAAAACATAGGCAGCAATCTCTCTGACATCAGCCTTAGCAACATTTTCCTAGATATGCCTCCTCAAGGAAGGGAAATAAAAGAAAAAATAAACTATTAGGCCTACATCAAAAAAAGCTTTTGCACAGTGAAGGAAACCATAACAAAATGAAAAGGCAACCTACTGAATGGGAGAAGATTTTGGCATATGATATATCTGATAAGATGTTAATATGCAAAATACATGAAGAACTTACACAATCTACACCAAAACCACAAATAATCCAACTAAAAAATGGGCAGAGGAACTGAATAGATGCTTTTCCAAAGAAGGTATATAAATGGCAGTAGACACATGAAAAGATGCTCAACATCACTAACCATCAGGGAAATGCAAATCAAAACCACAATGAAATACCACTTTACACACGTCAGAATGATTAGAATCAAAAAGACAAGAAACAAGTGTTGGTGAGGATGTGGAGAAAAAGAATCACCCATGCACTGTTGGTGGTAATGCAAGTTGGTGCAGCCACTGTGGAAAACACTATGCAGGTTCCTCAAAAATTAAAAATAGAAACACCATATGATCCAGTAATTCCACTGCTAGGTATTTACCAAAGAAACAAAAACTGATTCAAAAAGATATATGTACTCCTATGTTTATAGCAGCATTATTTATAATAACCAAGATATGGAAGCAACCCAAGAGTCCACTGATAGATGAATGAAGATGTGGTATACATACACACAATGGAATATTACTCAGCCATAAAGAAAGATCTTTGGGGCGCCTGGGTGGCTCAGTCGTTAAGCATCTGCCTACAGCTCAGGTCGTGATCCCAGCGTCCTGGGATCAAGCCCCACATCGGGCTCCCTGCTCAGCAGGGCACCTGCTTCTCCCTCTCCCACTCCCCCTGCTTGTGTTCCCTCTCTGTCTCTCTCTGTCAAATAAATAAAATCTTAAAAAAAAAAAAAATGAGATCTTGCCCTTTGCAACAACATGGATGGAACTAGAGGGTATTATGCTAAGTGAAATAAGTCAGACTCAGAAAGACAAATACCATATGATTTCACTTATATGTGGAATCTAAAAAAGAAATGAACAAAAAACTAGATGCTTAAATACAAAGAACAAACTGATGGTTGCCAGAGGACCATAAAGAGATGAGTGAAATAAAGGGGATTAAAAAGTACAAACTTCCAGTGATAAAATAAGTCATGGAAATAAAAAGTACAGCATGAAAAATATAGTCAATAATATTGTGATAACATTGGTGATAGATGGTGAGTATACTTATGGTGGTGAGCACTGAATAATATATGAAACTATTGAATCATTATGTTATACACCTGAAACTAATATAATATTGTATGTTAATTATACTTCAGTAACAAAAAACAATCTGATATTAAAAAATGGGCAGAGGAGGGTTGCCTGGGTGGCTCAGTCAGTTAAGCATCCAACTCTTGATTTTGGCTCAGGTCATGATTTCAGGGTCCTGAGACTGAGCCCCACTAGACATGAAGTCTGCTTAAGATTCTCTCTCCCTCTGCCCCTCCCTCTGCTCACATTCTTTCTCAAAATAAATAAATAAAATCTTTAAAAAAAATGGGCAGAGCACCTGAACAGGAATTTTTCCAAAGACAATGCACAGATGGCCAACAGACATATGAAAAGATGCTCAACATCACTAATCATTAGAGAAATCAAAACAAGGAGATACCACTTCACACCCCTCACAATGGCTAGTTTCAGAAAGACAAGAAATAACAAGTGTTGGCAAGGATGTGGAGAAAAAGGTATTCTCATGCACTGTTGGTGGGAATATAAACTGATGCAGCCACTATAGAAAACAGTATGCAGTTTCTTTAAAAATTAAAAATAGAAATACCATAAAAAAATAGAAATGCCTACCATCCAATAATTCTACTTGATATTACCCAAAGAAAACAAAAACACTAATTTGAAAAGATATATGCACCCCTATGTTTTTTTTTTAAGATTTTATTTACTTATTTGAGAGACACAGAGAGAGAGAGAGAGAGAGAGAGTGCGTGCGCGAGAGAGCGAGCATGAGGAGGGGGAGTGGCAGAGGAAGGAGGAGAAGCAGACTCCCCACTGAGCAGGGAGCCTGATGCAGGGCTCCATCCCAGGACCCTGAGCTCATGACCTGAGCCCAAGGCAGACTTTTAACAGACCAAGCCACCCAGGTGCCCCCTACGAACCACTGTGTTTATTGCAACATTATTTACAATAGCCAAGGTATGGAAGCAACCCAAGTGTCCACCAATAGATGAGTGTATAAAGAATATGTAGAATATTACTCAGTAATGGAATATTACTCAGCCATGAAAAAGAATGAGGTCTTGCCCTTTACAACATGAATGGACCTAGAGGATATTATGCTAGGTGAAATAAATCAGAGAATGACAAATACAATATGATTTCACTTATATGTGGAATCTAAAAAACAAAGGAACAAACAAAACCAGAAATAGACCCATAATTTTAGAGAACAAACTTATGGTGGCCAGAGGGAGGGAGGTTGAGAGGATAGGCACAATGGGTGAAGGGGAGTGGGAGGTACAAGCTTCCAGTTATGGAATAAGTCTCCCAGATGAAAGGTACAGCATGGAATATAATCAATGGTACTGTAATAGCATTGTATGGTGACAGATGGTAGCTATACTTGTGGTGAGCACAGCATAATGAAGTTGTCAATTAAAAAAAAATTCTGGGAAGCTTTATTATTTCATTATGAAATTAGTAAACAGGGGCACATGGATGGCTCAGTGGGTTAAGAGTCTGCCTTCCGCTCAGGTCATGATCCCACAGTACTGGGATCGAGCCCCACATCAGGCTCCTTGCTCATCAGGAAGCCTGATTCTCCCTCTACCTCAGTCTGCCGCTCCTCCTACTTGTGCTCTTTCTCTCTTCGTCAAATAAAATCTTTAGGAAAAAAAATGAGGAAACAAGAGGCTCGGGGAAGTTAAAGTGGCTTGCCTAGGAATACCAAGGTAAGCCGTAGTGCCAGGACTTATACCTTGGTTTATAACCCTAGTCATTACATCTATCGTATGAATTAATATACTAAAGCACATTGTACATTTTTAAAAAATGATTTAAACCGTTTAGTAAATAAGTTAGGTTTTGTCAATTAGGGAAAATTATATGTGGATTTTCTCACCATACAAAAAATCTGTAACGTCTTAGTGATTAAATTATTCCCGTTTATTGAAAACATCAGTGTATTTGTTGATGTACTTGAATCGCTGCATAGGAAACACTTGTTCTACGTGCTGTGCCATAATAAATACGTTTCCATGGGTGAAACACACTTTGCCTGAGTCTATTTCGCTTGATTAGATCCCACTGTTTCTCTCTCCAGAAACTCCTCTGAAGGTCAATTTCAGGCAGCAGGTAACGAGTTTCAACTGAAATGCAGAACAAACTTTCCCGAAACATACACATGTTGTATTTTAAGGTATAAGCGTTAATCCCCCAAATGAAATGGGTAACAAGTGATGGGTGTAATCTTCAGCAAGTACCTTGGCTTGTTCACAACCTCTTCGAGAAAACCAAGAGGTAAGAGGCGAAAGAAGCCAAATCCTGGGAAGCGCTTTTCCCTAGCAAAACAGCACCCCTGCTCCCCCCCCCCCCGGTCGCCCCGCTCCTCCGCGGTCGGTTACAGCAACCTACGTGCCCTTTTTCGGCCTCAGGGGTCTGATGGCGGGAAGCTGGCTGAGGACTGGCCGCCCGTTGAACAAACTCGAGTCACTTAGAGACATGTCTCTAAGGAGACAGGGTAGGGTATCAGTGACTCGCGCCCGGTACTTCTGGCTCCTATACACCTCGGCTGGGTCCTTGTCTTCCCTCAACCTCTGCCACCAACGCCGTCAGGAAAGCTAGAACCTCCTTGTCAGCCTGCCACCACGTCTTTTATAAACTCCCTCAAGCACCTGACTTCCCTCTCCAGTCCTCTTCAGGGTCCCCCTCGGGTCTTGGCGGCTAATGACAAACTTTTTTTTTTTTCTTCTTTTTTACCTTTCCGAAGTCGGCCCCTCGGGAGAGGAAGGAGAAGATGGGCGTCCGGTCGCGCTCGCGTCCAGCAGCTACTCTGCCCACAGTCCGCTCCGCCCCTTCTCGCTCCCTTCTCCCCCTCCCTCCGGCTCCGCTCCCCGCCGGGGTGAGGAGCTGGAACTGAGCTCGGAGGAGGAGCGCGCATGCGCGCCGCGGGTGGAGCCGCTGGGCAAAGAACCGGAAACTTAAGAGACAAAGTTCCGAGCCCCGCCCCCCGCCGCGCTGCCCCACTGTCTGGCCCAGCGGACCCACGAACCGACCGATCCACGCACGGACGAATCTGCCCGCTCTTGAGAGCGCCATGTCTGGTTCCTCCAGCGTCGCCGCTATGAAGAAAGTGGTTCAACAGCTCCGGCTGGAAGCCGGGCTCAACCGCGTGAAGGTGAGCGGGGGCGGGCGGCCGAGGGGGAGGGGAGGGCGGAGGCGGAGGGTGGGATCGGGAGGCCGAGGTGGCTGGGACTGGCTGCACTCGCGTCCGGCTCCCGCTTCCCTTGGGTAGGGCGCGCGCTCGGCGGCGAGGCTCCGGGAGCGGCCAACTTTAAAAAAGTAGGGGCGCGGGTCGGCGCCGTGGCTTGGGGTACCGGTTAGTGCGCCCTTCTGCGGCCAGGGCTTTCCAAGGCGGCTGGTCCCGGGGCTGAACTGCGGCTTTCCGCATTCCGTTCGCCCTTCTCTCTCCCTCCCTCCGCAGTGACTCCGTGGCTGGCTTGGGCAACAGCTGCTCCTCCGCGCGCCGTCTGCACCCTTCCAGTCCTCAGCTTACCAGACTCCACCCTTTCTTTTCACTGGACAGTTTTATCTTTTAATTCAGGACAACCAATTTTCTTTTCATGTCAAGAACGTTCCCAAACCCACTCCTTTTAGTACTAGATTCTTACCTCCAGCTCTTCTTATCCACCGAACACATACTTGAAAACGAATTTTTGCAAACGCAAACTTTAGGTTAAAGAAGCGTGTTTGTTTTCAGAACGTTCCCAGTGTCTAAGGTACCCACTGGTGCCCTGTACAACCTCGTACAAAGCGTGCATTGCATACCTATTTGGCACAGTTTGCTGGGATCCGACCTTGGGAATATCTACTGGTCTGCTCTATCTTACTGAACAGGGTGGACAAGTTTTATTTGTTTTGCCGACTGGTTAACGCTGACCTTGGGCGTTTACTTTGGGGGAAAAAAACCTTTTGTGTGTGTTGGTAGGATAACCTGACATTGACATGCTATTCCAAGTTTCTCCTGATTTTTAAAATCCTAAATGGATTGGCTTCTTTCTGGCACAGGTCAGCTTACAAGTGAAACTCTTGTAATTAAAAAAAATGAAACAGAAGAATATAAATCATGCACTCCGTTGAAAAACAGCCAGTTTCCAAGATGACTTGATTGTGTACTTATCGGGCTAGTCTTTACTTCTCCCTGAAATGTTCTGTGGAGTAAGACAGCCTCCCATTTACCTATTTCCTTAAATAGAAATGTCAGGGACCAGTTGTGGTCACCTCAGGACGGGAGGGAAATTCCCATCAGTTTTGGTGTGGGATTCCCCTCCCTTCCTGGCCTTAAGTGCTGTAGACTCCATTGTTGTTGGAGTCCATTTCTCTCATATCCAGATACTTCATCCCAGTGGTTTATGGTCACTCTTGGCTGGATTTAACTCTGAAATTTGTTTCTTAACCAACCATTACATTATCATTCAGGTGTGCCTTTACCATAGTTGGAGTGGCTCAGGAACGAAAAAAATGGGGAGGGGTATGGGAGGCAAAAGGAAAAAAAAAGTTTGGTTGAAAGCAGTTAAGTGTTCAGTAGGAGTACTTAGCCCTTGTCTCAAAAGAAAATGAGATGGAAGTCCTCAGACAAAAGTACTTGAGGGTTTACCATGAAAACCTCAGCTACTCCAGTAACTCTCCAGAGTGATGCCTGTTCCCTATACTTCATTTCTTCAGGAGGCTTCTGGTCAGGAGCCTTAAAGCCACCATAGGTGATTTGGTTTTAGAGTTCTTATTTCATCTCCTGCTAGGGGCTGTAGCAAGGAAGGGAGGGCATCCCACCTTGAGACTTTAAATGAACTTTTCTTTAAATCTGTTGTAAAATGTGGTTAGTTCGATTTTATTTTGTGTGCCTATTTTATCCATGACTCTGCTAGATGCTTTTTTGGGTGTTCTTTTATTTTTAAACTAGCCAAGTTTACTGTTAAACCTTTGTTTGAGTACAGTTGATAGAAATTTTCACAAATGCTTGACAAACTCTACCATATGTAGGGTGATATACGTTGTTTCGCCAACCCAGGACAGTTTTGAGTGAAAGAGGCAGTAATAATTATGCCAGGATTATAGGGTTTCAACCTCCTGGATAGTGATTATTACAATGCTTTAGGGGCTAGCAGTTTGTTTTGAGTTTTAGAGCCTTTGTCTTAGTTCTCCCCACTGCTTAGAATTCTGATTGGTTTCTCACTGATAGTTACCTGGCTGGTTCTCTTGTCTTTGAGATCTCAAGTTTAAATACCACCTCCCCAGAGACACCTTCCCTTAAGGCACGATCTTACCACTCAACTGTATTTTCCTCCGAACTGTCACCTCCGTAACAAGGACCTGGCTGTTCTTAGGTATTCTCGGTGCCTAGAGTATATTTGGCACATACTAGTGCTTGAGAAGTTTGTAAAAGGGAATTAGTTAAGTTGGAGCCTGCCTCCCTTTTAGGCAGAAAATTAATACTTTATCCTTACTGCTAGTTAATGTGAATGAAACCAAGTTTTAAGATTGTGCAGAATGATACCATGCATACTCCCCACTTTAGCCACACCTTCCTTTACACCTTCTTTTGGTGGGTAAACAGGGTGGCCATTTTTTGTAGCACTTGGTATCAGGTATTTACATTATATTTTAACACAGTTGCTAAATAAACCTATGGAACTCAATTACTCTGGACTGTAGTATAACCCAAACATACAAATAGATTTCAAGACTTGAGATTCATCTCAGGATCATGTATCCTTTTACCACCAGGTAAATGTCTGGGATACAGCAGTAATCTGCAGGATTTCTTCTTATAGAGGGTATTTGTGATGCTCTTACCTCCCTTTCATAGGCAAATGCCCAGCCGGACTGGACACCTGCTCTCACCCTCCTTGGGGATAGTTGAAACTGAAAATAAATGATTATTTTTCCCATCTTCCTAAACCTCAAGACTGAGGATATTGTATTCATTTGGTACATCTTTTAGTTATTCATGTTCTACATTTGAACCATTTGGTTATTTTGGTATTCTACATCACCTTATCAGTATACAAATAGTAGACATTTAAGTGATAATTCCTTAAGTCCTGTTTGAGTGGCATTGTATATGTATATGAAAATTGTTAAAATCACATTTAAGCAAACAGACTGCTTTTTAAAGGCAGGCTGCTCAGTGAAGTTATTAAAATAATTTGAAGTCTGCTATCAGCCTTTCAGTCACATGACATTAAGCAGAAAGCAGTCACTGTTTAGTTTCGTAACCTTAAACAGCAATGGTACATAATACCAAAACAATGAACTGAATGGTTCAGATTTAGAACATAATGTTCATTCACAGTAGCATTTTTCCAATAATATTGCTTTCAAGACAAAATAATAGTTGGCTAGAATTTTAACACCTTTTGTATCTAGTGTACGGCTTTTAATAAAAAACATTGAGGCCCTGAAGGTGGAATACCTCTGAAGATTATTAATAAACTAGCAAGATAGGTTTTATTTTGCAGATGTACTGAATCATTTGATGCTTTTAATAAGCAAGCAAAAGAAAACATAAACTAGTCCTCTGTACATGTAGTGTTTTGAGTATGAGCTCAGTATATATATGATTGTTGACTTTCAATTAGTATGTATCTTTTGACTTAAGTGTTTATAGGGGCGCCTGGGTGGCTCAGAATCTTTAAAAAGAGAGAGAGGTATTTATTGCAGGTATTTCAAAGATTTGACGAAAACCTTCATTAAAACATTCTCGCTGTGATTCATCAGTCTTACACAATTCACAGTGCTCACCATAGCACATAAAAAGAAAAAAAAGATCATAGGAAGGGAAAAATGAAGGGGGTAAATTGGAGGGGGAGACGGACCATGAGAGACTATGGACTCTGAGAAACAAACTGAGGGTTCTGGAGGGGAGGGGGGTGGGGGGATGGGTTAACCTGGTGATGGGTATTAAAGAGGGCACGTATTGAATGGAGCACTGGGTGTTATGCGTAAGCAATGAATCATGGAACACAACATCAAAAACTAATGATGTATGGTGATTAACATAATAAAATAAAATTTAAAAAAATATTCTCGCCTCTTCCCACTACCCTTTCCTTGTCTTATACAGGTTTCCCAGGCAGCTGCAGATTTGAAACAATTCTGTCTGCAGAATGCCCAACACGACCCCCTGCTAACTGGTGTATCTTCAAGTACGAATCCCTTCAGACCCCAAAAAGTCTGTTCCTTTTTGTAGTAAAATGAATCTTTGGATGGTAAGTTGCCTTAATATTTAGACAGTTTTAAAAAAATCTGCATTGTTTATGGGGATGATTTTTAAATACTACCAACTGATTTGGATTAATCCTGATGTCATTTCTCTAATAGAACCCAGCTATAACGCAGCATAGCAAAGAATTGGGAGTTGGGAATGTAAGAGAAAATCAAGAGATCATTGAATAAACTGACATTTGTAGTGGGGAATAACAGGTTTTACTCTTTATAATTGTTAAGTAAAGATAGAACAAGAGAGAAATGAAGTGTATGAGTTCACGGTGGCAGGCAGCGGATTTGACTTCAGAAGATTAAGAAACTAAAGAATTTGCTGGTTTAAGGCATGTGTCTATATATTAATCTGTACCTTCCAGATCAAATGTCAGTGTGTGCAAAAGTATAGAATGTTAATCCAAGAGAGTTGTGACCAAAAAACATGCTGTGGAGAATTTAAAATGTAATCCAAGGGTGCTTTTATAAATACGCGGTACTTTAGTCAGAGGGTTTACTCACCTGTACTGACCTCTGAGAAGCAACTGTAAAATAATAGTGCTTTAAAAAAAACTGTGTGGCACACACCCTTTACAAACATTCTAACTCCTCAAAGTTCAGGAAGCTGCTTCCTAAAATACCGTGTTACATAGTTGTGCCCTTTCCAGTAAATAAAATGGTTAAATTGGTTAAGATTTTGAAACACCAGAAACCACCTTTGAGTAACAGGTTTCCCATGAGGAAGTCATTCTTTTTAACAGCTTAACACGTTCATTTTGGAATAGTTAATAGTTCTTTGACTCTAGTAATATTAATTCTTCATGGCAGTTTTTAGAAATTTCTTTTTATGGCTTATTAAAGATTCTTTTTTAACCTCTGTTCCCGTTGTATTCACTTTACAAAGGGGTTTATTTTCATTTGATATAAAATACTGTTAAGAAGCCTGGCTTCTTATCTGGCTGTTAACGGTTTCATTTCACAAGAGTCTGCAGATAGGTTTTTAAATGACTTGCTCAAAGTTATAAATATAGCTAGGATAAGAACCCAGATTTCAGAGTAAAATAATTGCTACTAATCCTGGCGGTATAATAAAACAAGTTTGTAGGTATGATTTGAAACACCTTGGTCCAGGAAAAGGACATTTGGATGTAAAAGCATTTCTTCTCAAACTTGACTGTATCTGCAAATCACCTTGTTCAGAAGCAAATTCTCAATAGGTCTGAATTCTAGGGGTGAACCACTTCTTACAGACTCCCAGGTTATATTGATGCTGGTGGTCCTGGGTGGCCCACAGTGAAATGGCCTGGATGCAAAGAATCTACATGTCAGTCTTTCACATCTTTTAAAAATATATAGTTTTGATCATTTAAATTAAGACAACATAATTTAGTAGTAGATAGAGTACAAGGAAAATAGAAATTACCATGATCAGCACACTTAGAAGCAATCACTGTTAATAGATTAGATTTCCTTTTAAGAGGAAGAAATATTTATGGGCAGGTTTACAGACAATAAGGATCATAGTATGTAGTTTTTATTCTGCTTTTAAAAAAACACTTGAATTTTCTTTAAAAATTCTTTGTAAACGAGATTTTCAATGGTTATGACTTAAACATCATTAAATATTGAGGTTTCCAAGTTTGAAGCTACACTGAGGCAAACATCTTGGTACTCCTGTGTATAGTTTACCTGTTTCCTTAAGATCGATTTCTTAAAAGTAAAATTATTTAGGGGTGCCTGGGTGGCTCAGTTGGAAGCTTCTGACTCTTGATTTCAGCTCAGGTCGTGAGCTCAGGGTTGTGGGAAAGAGCCCCGTGTTGGGTGGAGTCTGCTTGTTCCTCTCTGCTCTCCTCCCCCTGGCTTAAAGCTCTCTCTTCCTCACTCTCTCAAATAAAATCTTTAAAAAATAAAAGTAAAATTATTCAATAACTAATGACATTTAAAATTTAATGACACTTGATAACTAGGAGGAAACTTTCCACCTGGACCTTAAGAATGCTTTTTTTGTTGAGCTCTTGCTAAACAACCCTCATTTTCTGCCTATTTAGTTTTTTAAATTTGCATTAATTCAGATGTTGAGGTTAGACATTTTGTTTTTTCATCACTGATTCTGTTTAAGCTTCTTGAACATTTTTGTTATAAAATATCAGAAATTTTCAAATAAGTAGAGAACCATGTATCAAAAAGAAATTTTTTAAAAAGATATACTTTTTCTACCTTTCCATATAACTTACTGTTTTTTAGGAACAACTACTGTATTATTTTTGAGATTTGTGTTGATCCATGTAAATTGTTTTAACTGCTGTATAGTATTTAACAATATGTATAAATCCTGGTTTATCTATTCCCCTATTGCGTTACATTTAGGCTCTTTCAAGTTCTTTGCTGTTAAAACACCACTATAGTCAATATCCGTGTACATGTCTCTCTTTAAGCGTAGGTTTATCTAGGTAAATAGAAGTGGGATTGCATCTTTTACCTTAGTAGATGGAGCCAGACTGCTCTCATCAATGCTAACTGCTCATTTTCTAGGGATGTTCAGATTTTTCAGAATTTAAGAGAGTTTTACATTAACTTTTTTTTATTAGGACATAAGAGTATCTTTGGGAGTGATCTTGGCAAGTTAATCTTTAAGTCTGTTGCTTATAAACCAGAAGTGATTTGTTCTTCAGAGTGGTTGTGAAAATTAAGAGGAAGTTACATTTTATACATCAGAGATCTGTTTCTCATTTTTTCCCCCTAGAAACCCTGCGATATGTCTGCTTTAAAAAAACAGAACAAAACAAAACTGGCTTAGTTGGGGGCACCTGGGTGGCTGAGTCATCTTGATCTCATTGGTCCTGAGATCGAGCCCCAAGTCAGGAGTCTGCTTGGATATTTTCTCCCGTGCTCCCCACCCCCCAGTTGCGCACACACCAGTGCTGGCTCTCTCTGAAATAAATAAATCTTTTTAAAAAATAAAACAGACTTAGTTTAATTGAAAGCACTTTATAAGCTCATATGCAAATGAATGCCCTTAAAGTAATAGATGTATTACTTTTCAGAAAAAACTATTGTGCTTTGGTACTGTACCCTAATTCACTCTTTCTTTTCCATTTCAGGTTTTCTCAGCCACTTTTCATGAACCAGTGAATATCAAAGGAGAATTAAATTTGAAGCCTGTACAAAAGCTTATTATCCCTGTAACACGTGCCATACTATATAAACTTCTACTTTTGTCAGTCCTTAACATCTACCTCTCTGAATTTTCATAAATTTCTATTTCACAAGGGTAATTATTTTATATATACACTGGCAGCAGCATACAATAAAATACTTAGTGTAAAAGTTTTTTGGTTAATTACTGGTATTAAATAGACTATTAATGTATTTTGAATACCTAAGATACATGACAGTTTCCCATTGTCATTAAGAAGGGGTTAAGTTATAGTGTTTTTTCCTACCAACTCATCTCACATATAATTTTATGCCATACATTTATTTGAAAGACTATAGGGAATTAAAGGTAAGTTGCAGACTTTTGTATCCTTTCAAGGTCAGGAGGAAGCTGCTAGTACTAGTCCTACTCATGAGTTATTTGCAGGATTAACTTTGTTTTAATAATAAATATTTCTAATAAGCTCTTGTGTAGGGTTATTACCATTATAGCTAAGAGTTAATTACTTCTTAATAGATTACTCTCCTAATAAGGACAGTAAAGACTGGACATAGGAATTCCATTAGAAGATGTTAAGAAAAACAGACTTTTAAACGTTTCTTGGGTGGAATACTATAGTACGATGTAATGAGGTACAAAGTACCAAGAAAAAAGGAACCAAAGTTTAGCTTCAGTAATTTGCAACTGTTAAGTCCTTGGTAAACCATTTTGCTTTAAATTTTTACCATTCTGAAAGGCTTAAGGAAATATTAAAACATCCCAGAAACCTGGCCTCCCAATATATATTCATGCAGGAAACAGAATTAAAGTTATGTGCCAGATCCAAGATTAGGCTGGTAGAAAACCATTGATTGGGTTAGTATCTACCAAGGACTGTATTTTCTCTCCAGGCCACATGTTCCATGAAAGTACACGTGGAAAAGTTAGTTTGAATCTTGAGTCCAACTTATAAGTACCTAGAAATAAGAGAATTTTTAGGAAACCTAAACTGCAACTTCTAAATTCACCAAAATGACTTTTATTTGTATTTACTACATAGACGGTGAATGGTAATTCATGGCACTTGATACTTTGTCCAGACATGAAAAGGTTTATGAAACCAGTAAATGACATTTTGAAAAGGGTCTTCTGTCATAAATCCAGGATTGGCCTGTTTAGCACAATTCAATACTATTCCTTCAGTATTTTATAAATGGAATTTTCTTCTACTTGTATCCATTTCCCGGGGCTGAAAATTAGGAAAAAAAAAAAGTAAAACAATTTATAGGTAACAATGCTTTAAAAAAAAAAAAACCCTTCTGGGTCCATTTCAGAGACTGCATAGTCTAGGTCTAATAAAGGTATTACAAGTTACTTTTCTAATATGTAGGTGTATAATATACATATAAAATTTTGAAGTAAAAATACCTAAGTGAATTATTGCTTACTAGAAAAGAGACGGTTTTAAAATATTGAAGTTTTCATTTGTGATTTAAAATGATCTACAAACTTTACAAAACCTCTATAGCAAAAGTTTTCAAACATAGAGCAGAATCGTAACACTGGCTTATAAATGGAGTGCTGGGCCCCACTCCCTAAGATGCTGATTTGGTAGGTCTGTGGGCCAACAATTTGCCTTCCTAACAGGTTCCTAGGTGATGCTGCTGGCCTACTTTGAGGACCACTGATCTTTAGGATAATTCAAATAAACCAGGGTTCATCACCAGAGCAAAATACCCTATTAGAGATTGGTTTTTTCAAGCTTATGGTTTTTTTTCAAGCTTATGGAGGTCAGAAGCATAGCTTGAGATGTAAGCACTCTCAAAGCATAAAGTACATGGTTTCCTTCTCATTCCATTCTTTTAAAATGATCTAAATGGTTTTTGAAATAAGGCACATACCTTATGGACCCATTCATACTCTCCATATTTAGAATCAAAGGTTCCTTTCTGAAGAGATCTTAATTTTAAGGTAAAACGTGGTCCAAGTTCCTGAATTCCCACTTTCTTTTCACTCTTGAATATGTACCTTCAAAGATAAATG